TCTTGAGTGCTGTTAGAGGTATGAGGGCGTTTATCACTTCCCGGTCGCCCACACCGTGGAAGGGTTCTTCTGGAGGTACCTGAAAAGGAAATTGAATTAGAGGTGGTCTTAGTGACCTGAGAGCGTGACCGCAGTGCCCAAGGGACAGCTGCTTGAGGTCGGCCATACACGACCTTTTTATGAGTAATTTTTGTGTTAGCTCCGTACTTGTTGAGACCTTACCGCCGGAGACGGATATCCGTGGGATAAGGCCAGGTGTGCATTTTTAGGGTCGACCTTTTCTAACCCCACCCCACCCCACCCCTCCTTGTGGGAAGGCAGCATCTCTGTTATGCTGGCTGTCTGAAGGAAACACCTTACTGCTGTCTCACCTCTGTACAGTCAGCAGTACGACTTCACCTTCAGACCTTGGTTTTGTTGCTTTTAGTCTTACCGCTCTTCAACCGACCTGTCTGGCATGGTAGGACCTTGAGGAACGGTTGTTCCAGCCAGTATAGCTCAGTTGCTTCATCACGATAGGCAAGCCCGACCACCACATCAAGGTAGCAACAACGGTCAGGTCTGGTTTATACAGATTTGTTTCATTTCGCTCACTGGATATATGCAATCTGAACGTTTTCGGTACACTGTAGACTCACGTAATCTCTCAATTTTTAGCTATTCACACTTTTCTTTATGTTTTTTACATTTTTCGTTTGAGTATCTCAACTTTTGTATCTTAGTCTTTGTCTATGTATTTGCGTTTTCATCTGTGATGTTTTTATTTATCAGTTGTAGACGTTATTGGAATGTTGTTTTTATACTTTTTGATAACTTTTCAGGCTTTGAATTCAAGTTGGATTTTTTTGGCAGTTTAAGTTTTTCATCTGTCTGAAAACAATACTAAAGTAACTTGTTGTCAGTTTTGCACTTTTGGATACAAATGAGCCTACCGTAAATTTGCCTGTGGGTAATATTGGTCTTTGTTCTCACATTAACACCTGTGTCTGTATATCGCTTTCTTTCTCCAATATATTACTACTTAAGAATTGTCCATCAATTTATAAACACCTTCCTTGTGAGAAAAATTTCAGATTTTTGATTATGAATGTAGTTATAAAACAAAATCATAAATTTCAATTAGGTGGCAAAATGTTTTCGAATGATAGTCATATTAAAAGTAAACCAAATAACACGGAAACCCAAAATCACTTCTAGAAAATAACGAATGACGAATGGCAAATGAAATTCCCGAGGAATGTTTGTTGACGCCGTATCTTCCGTTGCTTGATAGATGTCAATACGCTGCTTCAGAATATATCAATTAATAAAGCCAATAATAATATACTTACTATTTCCACGTAACCTATTAACATCATTATGAATTTTCAACCAAACAGGTCATACACCAGTAGCCTTTTCGTTTAATAATGGTTTTTTGTTGCGTTTATAACATATAAATTTAGACTCATACCGCCCAAGTCTAGGATAACGAAAATAATAACGTCCTTCCTCCTCGAGAAAGTTCTGAAATTTCACACAATATCAGAGTACTTTATAAGCACAGTAAAGGTCCAACAAATGTTGCAGTCACTGAATACAACCTCTTTTTACTATTTCGGCAAACACTGGCAAAAAGTTACAGATTTCGAAAAGATGGATACTACTGACCAACATGAATTATTTCTCTGTGTGGATTTGATCCTTACTTACATATATTACTAACATTTGCAACTTGGCTTTATTTTTATTATTATTATTATTATTATTATTATTATTATTATTATTATTATTATTATTATTATTAGTGGCTTTATTCAATATTATATTTTTGGTACAATATAGAATTCTCAGCACAAAGTATTTCAACAAGTTTCCCTTTCTTATTTCTTGATCAGTTCCATGCGATAAATATTGAGTGATCGCCAGTTAGATGTTGGCGGTTCAGGAATCGACATCTGATAAATGTATATCCTTTTTGATGCATGTTGCCAGTAACCATGATGTCTCTGATTGAGCTCCTCTGTAACTTGTGCAGCGAAATATCCTAAACTTTTCACAAACGCACCTGAATAGGTTATGAGACTAATAGGCATAATGATCCGTTAAAACAAACAAGAAAACAGATAACTTGTTAAAATATCCAGATGGCAGAAACAAATAGCCCAGATATTCAAGCAGGCCGCGTTTTTGATAAAACGTATTCAAAGTAACCGTATAGCACCACAATTTGCCAAAAATTAGCCGAAAATAAATCCACGTTATTTTCGATCTTCATCTCAGCCTCATCATATGACAGGAATTTAAATGAAGTCATGTCTGGATAGTACTATTTTCACGTTTTACCTTATTAATGGTCTTGTAAACATATGTTGTTCATCCTGATGCTGTAATATTTTCTGGTGAAATGATCGTGAGCTTATAGTTTTGGCATTTATTCAATAATTTACGTGAACTGATCACGTGACAGCTGTTTACAAAATAATCTATCGACGTAGATCTCCGGATATACTAATGACAATAGGTTACCTGAACAGCCAGGACGCGATTTATCTATCAATCACATATAGGAGCAACATTCAGTTTGATAGTGTTGTAATTCATAGTTAGTTTTCTTATACTGTCCAGAAGTGCAACTAGCACTATACTAGATCTTATGCAACAATGAAAATTGCATGAGTACAAGGAGACAGACTAAACTTTGAATTGAAGCTTTTATATCTCAATAAATGTAAGTGAACTATTCTAACATCATAATGTATTTCATATTAACCAGATCCTGGTAAATATATAGCACCTAGTAAGAAGGAGGTCCAACTACACACAGCATCTCACGCTCTGATTACTATACAGAAGTCACCATATTATTTTTAATAATTGGTTTTTGGTCAAATTTGACAGTCCGTTGCACGACGCTTTAGTCAATGTTAATTCAACAGTTCAGTTCAACGACCGTGGCTACTTGCGTGTTGTACTTTAGATATCAAAATTATCTTTGATAAGCAAAAAATATACCAGGGAAGACGTTGACAAAAGTTGGAAATAAATAGTTGAGTGACATATTCTTGGAGAGAAATGTTAGCGTATAAATATGTTTTTGTGTAATCTGTCATTTTTACTAAATATTCACAGTATAATTTTACAGTTGCTGTAAAACGTTAACTAACAGAAGCGAGTATTACGTTTAACAATGATGCTAGCATATGTGATACTATAACAGCTTTTTTATATCCTTTAATTTTTAACTCCATCCCTAAGCCAGTTTCTGACCTTAATATTCCATATTTTGATGTCTACGCTTATATTAGCGATCGAGACGTAATACTAACCTTCAGAATATGATCAAGTAACTTGTTTATTATCTTTAAATAGTGGTGGGTTTAACTGAAATTGTGTAACTACTGAGTTTATATCAGCCGATTTGAATAAAAAATATCTCAATGTCGATATGTTGTGCTCATATTAGATTATATTCAGTCTTCTGTAGGTCCTACTACGGAGTTGTTGTGAAGTATGATACAAAGATAATAATTTATTAACGGATAATGGATTTTTCGGTTCTTTTTGTTACAATAACGTAGTATACGCTTTTTGTCTGGGTTTACATTGATTCTTTGCAACATTTTGGGATAGCTAAAACGATTCTTTTTTGGAAATATTTCTCTAGCTTTTGCAACTGAGTTCTGTTTTAGAAAGATGTTTGCTGAATACACTTGAAATAAGATTTGATTTTCTTCCCATTTTTAACCTTTTTCACTAAAATAATAGTGGAGGTTATGTTTTGTCTGTTTTCCACGTTTTATTGAGATGAATCTTTCGGTTCACTTTTCAGGACTATTGCTCTAGTGATGAAGTACACCAGATCTTCAAATAATCATTTCCTTAGTAAGTTCTCTTTCTCTTAAATCTTACATTTCTCTCTCCATGTATGTAATCTTTAGGGACTAAATAATTAATGACTTAATGTTTCAAATTGTTGTTGGTTTAGAAGATATTGTAAGACTGATAATTATCATTCGTGTTGCATTTACTCCTAATAGAATATTAATCTCAGCGACGATTTGAACAGTACCCCGAAAATTACAACATTCTGTTACTTTTGTAGACTCCCAAATTACATGGTACGGCCGAGAGTGGGAAGAGTCCCCTCTCTCTCGAAACGCTGTCACTTGGCCACGTGCATACAACCACTGCCAGGGAAGTCTTACTGCCTTCTCGAACCAAGGGTATTGTTTACGAAATTGAGAGGACGAAAAGCGAATGTCCGGCACTTTAACCGAGTTGGTGGACACGGAGAGTCCACCTAGGGGAGTTGGAAAACCCTGATTCCGCACCAATGATGCACATGGGCTCCAGTATTCTGAGGGAACAAATGGCGTATGAACCAATTGTTGGTCACCGGTTACCATGGGACTGCATCTCTTTATGTTGCTCCACTGCCTTGTGGATCAGACCTTTGAGTCGAAGGCTCCGGGTGTGGCCCTTTAAGAAAACCACCTGCTTCGGTTTGGGCACCCGGGCAGTATCGCCGCTCTCGCACAAATCAAATGAGATTTGTGTGGCGCATATGTATTTGGTTCCCCTTTGTACCGATACCTATGTATTCAAATAAAATAAATAAATAAAATTAATTGCGTATTATAAATCTAGAATTTTGATCTTCGTTCTTCGAAGTCACTGAGACTGGAACAAGGATGTAGAAGGTCTAAAGTGTCTTTTTTAAGTACTAGAATTATTACCACAAATCCACCATCGAATACTTCGGTTCTTAATCCCTTTTGTTCCATGTTAAGTTTCCTTTATTGATCATTATATTTGTTCGCTTGTAAACTATCCGATCAAAATAAACATAATATTCAAAATATTTACACTGGCAAGAATAGCATTTATCGCGAAATCATTAAAAGTGTATTAAGATCAACAGATGTGGATTACCTGAGGAAAAAGCCGTAAAGGATATTTGAAAGAACTAAAGATTGGTGGATAGATTTCTGTTCAATTCGCTTTCCAGGTTTTCGGCTATCCGAACTGCTTTTTAACAGACAGAAACACAAATCGAATTCAACTTCTACTTCAATTTATTTTAGTCATATCTTTAATCGCAACATAGTCGGAAAACTTTACTAAAAGTTGGGTTAACATATTTAAATAAACTTCTATTTTTTTTCAATCATATCAAAAAGTTCGTAAAAATATTTCACCTAAAACATTTCTCATCCCATCATTTTCCAGTTTCATGGGCTTATTTCCCGTAAGCATCCAAAACCTATTCGTTATTGGTTTGAATAAAGTTTCTCTTTCATTTAGGTCATTTTCAGTCTCAGCAAAGTATTTTTAAAAAGTTTTTCTGGAACTAGTATATCTCGAATTATCTGATCTGCTAAGATCCAGTTTATTCGGTCATTTTAAAATGTGAAGCTATCCTGTTTGATGTTTTGTTTAAAAGTGAGGTGAATCCTCCAGACTTTTACTTTAAAAATAAATCTTTAATGTTAGTGATAATTTCATTGATTTTTCTTTCAGTATTATTAAATAGTAAGGTGAAATTCATGATCGTCTTCAAGAAACAATAAGTATACGTGTGGATGAAATTTCGTTCAAAAATTTCATATTCAAAATTTGTGCAATCATATTTATATTCAGGAATTGACCAGATTAAGAAGTTGTGCACTTTAGTATGAATGCGTATATTTAATAAGCCACCAGACAGACTTAAAACCATGGAAAATATAAAATCCTACAAGTCAAGGGCGATTCTGGTTCGACCCCAGTAGGGAGCATCAATTCTTTTGAGATTACGCCTTGCTGACGAGTGTCAAGTAGCACGAAGCCTATTTCCAGGATTTCATATTAACCACCTAACGTTTCAATTTAATACAGCTAATGTTTAGTCACTTAGACTAGTGGCCACGCTACAACTTGATCAGTAAAGTTCGATCAACAATAAATGGTTAGAGAACCACGACATTAGTCACTGCTCATGAATCAGTTGATTACAGATTTCATGTCTAGGTGTAGTCATATGCTGAGTCATATGGAAGTTGCTATCTGACTCAGAGAAATGTTCCACATTGAATGACCTAGGTATATATAATTTGAGCCAGTTTGATATTTATGCAGATTTATACAAAACTTGTTCTTTACGTTCAATATAAACGCAACTGCACATCTTTTGAGAACGAGTTTCTTGAAAATAGTTTTCTCTGAAACAAAATAGTCCCCGGGCTTTCCGTGATACCTTATTAACTTGGTTTTTATCCACTGTGTCACCTGTTTGATTTCTACTTTATTCGTTTTGGCTCAAATATCCGTTGGTGATGTTAGTTCGCACACATTTTCCGTGCCTCTCAGTATAAGCAGTTAATGTACTGGTAAAAGGATACAGTTTTTTTTGAAAAATCTAGTGTTATATTTATTTCCACGAGCTTTTATAACTGACATTAAGATTTCCCTATAATCCCTAATTTGTTTAGTCACAAGTGACTAATCGAAATTCTCAATATGATTAAAAAATTCCGGACGGAATTAAATCCTCCCTATTATTTTTTTTAAAACAAATAATCACGAGAAGGATTCACTGTGCTTTTCGGCATGAAGTTATTGTAGAAAATAAAGTGGTAGGTTTCTGTGAATTTATTAAGTTTAAAGACAAAACTGTTAAGGATGCTAAATCCCGTGGTAAACGTCCCATTTTTGCAATTTTATTTCGAAAATTTGAATTTCTCGTTTTCTCACTACAAGCACCCACTTTTACCTTCAGATTGTATTTCCCACTTGGAAGTACCTTAAATATCATTGGTTTGTTTCCTCTTTTAATACGTTATTTTGTGACGTTTCCCAAGGACATTTTCATACTGCATCTATACTCTTAAGTTGTGTACTTGTTTGTTTATGTTTTCAACTGTTTGTTGCATGTACTTTTCCCTCGGCTAAATCTGGCCTTCTCCCTCTAGTTAGCAGGACTGGGGCTCATTGAATAGTTTAGCTTGTCCTGTTGTTGTGTTGCTGAATCTCGTTTCATTCACCGGTTTAGGTGGCATCGTAATCTCTTAAAACGTAGCAAAAACATTACGGTTCATGGCATTCATAAAGTTTGTCTATTTAATTTCATAAATAATACCAATTTACTTTTTGACTTTTGAAAGTCATTTGTTTTAACATTTTCCATAAAAATAGTCTTGTCATAGTTGTTAAAGCATTCAACTTTCAGCTATTTGATTGTAGTTCTAAATTTCATTTAATAAGTCTTTTGACAGCCTAGTAACATTATTTTTAAAATAGGGACTTAAATATGTTTACAAAAGTCTATACTCAGACATGCACAGTACAGAACCTGACATACTTGTGTGTAAGTTCAAGTTGCTAAGCCGTATCAACACGGCAAGATGAAATTATCAAGACAAGTTCCATAGTAGTAGAAAATATTAGACATGGACTATGATTTGAGAAAATAGAATCAGTTTGACGAATAAAAAGTACACGACATGTATTTGGTTACTATGTTACGTTAATTATTTTGTTATTGTTTCTAAAATATTCAGATGCAGGTGGGAAATACAGAAAGCGTTCAACTCTTGAATCACCAAGTGTATCTGTCTATCCTGTAGCTGATTTAATGAGAGCACGTGCCGAGTTTATTCACCAGTGGAATGTATCGATGTCCAACCAATCTGTAGCCAAGTCAATCAAAAGTGATCATTACAAATATCCACCAAATATAACTATGAGAAATTTTCTAGAATATCCATTTCATGATAATGCATCGGAAGTATTTCCGTTATTTCGAATTACAAAAAATATAAACACAACCCAAGTGGTGAAGACTAAAGTTGTAGAACAGTCACTTGAACGTCAGAAAGTTGAAATTGAAGTCGATAATATATCTGATAAAGACTTTAAGCGTGTTTGTATGCTGCTCACTGATAAGGCTTGTTTGTGTGAAGATTCTATACAATTAGCTAATCAATATCAGTGCATATCAGCATGCTATTTTATTTGTGATTATTGTGATTACATTGGTAAAACAGAGAATGATGCCCAAATACATTTGCAACAAACAAATCATTTGACATGCAGTAAATATTCACCTTGCTATCATACAAATTATTGCAATGACATGTTAAGTGAGCTACAAAAGTCACGTGTTATCTCTAATAATTCAGACAGAATCTATGGTTGGCATGTTGGTGATACAGTAGTATGCTGTCCTACTTGTAATTTACCATTTTTGGATAAGGTAATTTCTTTGGATAAGTTATCTCATTTTTCCACAAATGGTAAATACGTACTTTCATATAACGCGGTACTTAGACATGACCTACTAACATTTAATTTGTTTGAAAATTATAACCGCACTTAGGATATGCTGTGAAAATCTTGAGCAAAATCTCTTCTTACTTTGAGAAACATTCTGGTTATTATCACTACATTTCATTGACCTTGTTTCAATTTCTTGATATTAGTCCGTTGGTTTTTGTATAGTAGTAAGTGCAATTCTCTTACACTATATATTTCACACATGTTGTTTAAAGACCATGTTACAAAGCGTAGTTATGGGAAGAATACGTCAGTCTGGTCAAATGAGCTGTCACCAGTTCCTGACAAAATACGAAGAAGATAATGAATTAGTCGCTTAAAAGGTTTAATAAATGGAGTCTTCTGTCACTTCTTCCACTTTAATTTTATCTCAATGACCCATATTTTTGCTAGCATAATGGATCTACTTTTGCTTGTTCCTAATGTTGTTATTTCATCCCATGTAAGTCATTAAAGTATTTTTCACTGCACAATGCCTTCATTTTTAAATAAACAATAAAAAACATGAGGTAACTTCCGGTACATCTTCATAAAGCGAATATCTGAGACCATCGTAGTGAGTCACAAAATAGTCACTAGTTCTACCCAGCTAACTTGACATACAGATTCGTGAAGCAGCATACTATTATTATCAATATGGGCTTTTAATGAATTCTTTTATGGTCAAGCATCTTGTAACTTACACTATACATACTTTCTTTATTTGGCGTTGTAGATTGTTCATCTGTAATCTTTATTGTGTGTTTATATATATCCATTTTACTTACCTATATTTTATGCGTTTTATTTTCACATGTATATGTGGTCCATACTTTTGAGCAGTCTGCTTAAAGGCCTCTTCTTACTTTTCATATGTCTGCGTAAAGTAATACATGGAATAAATCCTTCCAGAATATATTTTATTTGGACATTTTTTACCACAATTGCTCAATGATATTAACCTAAGTATTACATGAAAAATTATTTGAGGAGTTAGAGTTCATTACGGTCCTTTATCGTAAAGTCAGTGCGGTGCCTTAAGTCTTAGGTTGTCACTCTATGTTGTAAATAAATTTATTACCTTAAAAATAAATTCTGTCACATAAATGCGATGAATTAATCATTGTTATTCTCTATATTAATGTACCTTTTATTCACTATGATCTACCTAAACGTTTTTCTTAATTTTCGACTTAATACATAGGATGTATGTTGTGTAAGTAATTTTATTATTTTCACCCTAATAGTCAGCATCTAATTTAGATCTCTCTACTAATGACTGTTAGTTTTTCAACTAAGTTCACTTAAACTAGTACCTGATTGTGTATGATTCAAACAATGATCACGATGTCCATATAATTTCTGATTGAATACTTTGTGCTACCATTTGAATCTTTATTACGAAAAATTTATATTCAGCCAAATTATATTTCAATCGGCACTTAAAATGAGTATGGAAGTTATTAAAGCATCATGTGAAAGAACTGGACTACGTTTATTTACTGTTGGTCCATCATATATTAAGTAGAACGACACTGCAGCGCTGCTAATTGACGTGTTCATGCATGAATGGGTTAATCATACTATTTATTTGATTGTAAAATGTTAAAACGCAGATACCACATTGTGTATGTGTTCATTTTTAAACTGCATCGTATGAAACAAAGAAGTCTTTGAGGAAATCTGAAAAGTTTTATGTCTAAAACGAAGTACATTTTTGGTTGAATTGAAACAATTTATACAAATGCAAAGACTCAAGAATTGTAAGTGACTAGTAAAACGAAAGCGAAATTACATATATTATTGTAAGACTAGCAACTATGAATTCATTGCTGGTTTATTCTCATTAATTCAGTAAATAAGTCAGTTGTCTTAATTGAATTTACTTCTGTAAAAGACGATTACTCAACTAAAATGATCTATTCAGTGTCAATAATCATTTCTAAGGAAAGTGTTATTATTTATTTACTTACATTAGTTGCTAAACTATTTAACCATGTTCTAATGTGATTGCTCTCGTATTTTTTTTTCAGATTATGTGTGCATATCACCACTCTTTACAACATGCTGAAAACCAATATCTTTTTACTTATGGGAAGGTGTTGACTGTAAGAGTTTTAAAAATTCAAGAACTTCTAGTATGCCCTGATTGCCGACAATATTTTCATACATTAGATAAAATTATGAATCATTGGATTACTTCATCTCGTTGTAATTCACCATTTATGCCAATTTCAAACAATAAGGATTGTTCAGATGTTCTCTGTATTCTTTCCGTATCATGTAGCATCTGTCAACGTAGTTTTACCGCAGTTCCATCTTTAGAAATAGAAGCTAATCATCCTGGTCAGAAGAGAAAACATCCGTCAAGCAGAGAAAATATCTACAGGTCACCAGCTTCTTGGGCAAAAGATTTTGGTCATTTTTGTATTCGTCATGCTTTTGAACACATAAATCAGGGTAAATTCCCTTTGTGTAGTTTGAAAATACGAATTATAAGTGTCCCGAAATCTGTTAACTGTCTTCCTCCCATCACCAGTACAAATGATCCAAACAGATTACAGTTTAGCCTCATTGAATGTAAACGTCTTATTTCATATCTTGAAATTCATGAATGGAAATCCCATTTACTTAAACAGGCTCAGAAAAGCTTTAGAGACTTATTTTTGGACGCTATTTCTTATGTCTTATGAATAGGTTTCTTTTTTATACCCACTCCAAATGACTTCTTATTTCAAAATAAGCATTTATATTGCTCTTATCCGTATCTTGGGTAGTAATAATAATACTGATCTATTTAATTTAACTTTTTCCCTTTAAGTGTGTTTTTATGGATAGCAACTATCCTGGATACCAGCAGATTTAAATACTAATATATGTTGTGTTTATCTACTTTGAAGAAAACGTGTATTGTAGTCGTTCATTTCCGTTGACCCTACCATTGATCTTCGTATTATCTTGTAGCCTCCAACCCTGTTTCACACTTTTTATGACCATTCCCTAAGAGACAGTGTTTTGAAAAACTTGATCACCATATAAACATTTACATTGTCGACTTCTTATTCACAAGCTTTAAATCGCTGCTGGAACTCTTTTATCTAATGGTTTACTTCGTGACTTTTTGTACCAAATCCAATAACTAATTGAATTATGACATAAAGCGCTATGTATTACCATATCATCTTACAGTGGGAAAATAATTGAATCTCACGAAGTTATACTATACCTAACGATGCATAGAAGGGCTTATCCATTTATTAAACTAGTAGGGTTAAATAATTAGGTTTTAAAAAACTATGTCCAGGGATTTGTTTTCCGTCTTTGTTATACTTGGATATCTAACTTCCTTGCCCTTGAATATCATAGTTGCGATAATATAAGTGGCTAGTGTAACACAACTCTACTCTCTGTTCGCATTCTTGTTTTTCCGTTTGAAATTACATCTCTAACATCTGAGTTTTACAATAGTAAGATTTCAAACACCTAATCTACTTTTTATTGACCCAAGTACTTTCAATTGCAGAGTGGTGTATTTCAACTGCTAAATGATTCATGTTAGATCACTTTTGAAAACATGGAAGCATTAAACAACCGTTTCACTCTAGTACAGGACTTCTCAACAGCGCCCATTCGCGATCCCCCACTTTGACTTCGAACCCAAGGTTTTCGGCCTCGCGAATGTCTAACCTTTAAACAACTGAGCCGGTATCCAACGGTGTTATTGTCTGTCTTAAACGAATCTAAGATGTTGCGCGATCATCTGCCATAGTTGATTTCTATGAAATATAACAATCTCCGCAACTCCAAAGTGAAGATTTCGGTAATATTTGGTAAATTTATGATCTAGTAATTCTCCGTAAATTTCAAGGCGCTCTCGATTATATGTATATATAACTGCTGTGTCATTCACGTAAATTACTAAACTCATCGGTTAAGTGAAAAAGGTACTTTTCAACTTTTGTTTTTGGTATGGGGAATCTTTTGTACAATACGACAATATTTCCGATATTTTTAAGACAATTTGAAGCTGTTGTATACATCTGTTTAGTTATTTATTTTTTATTGCTCTCTTTAATATCATCCCTAATAAGTAGCATTTTTCATTTATTTGTTACTTTTGTTTGTACGGTAGACAACTGGTCATAGATTTAATTATTTCTAAATATTGCTGGGATAAAGATTTAAGCAGAATAATATGAATTCTTTTGGTTCTTATCAGCTGCTCACAACCTACAACATTCTAAATTCGAGATCATGAAAAGTAATATATATAGACTTAAATATGTATAACCGTAGTGGAGTTAAGGGGTGTAGCCGTGTGTAGGTCTTCAGCTTTCATTTGTTATACCAAGTTATGTAGTGCTGACTGGTTTCTTATAAAAACTTATTACAGTAAAGCTCATAATCCCGACTTTATACTGAAAGTCGTTGCTTGAAACCTCAGCAAAGATTCAACTACTTAAAAGGTTTTCCAACTTGTATTGAGTGCCGCTCTACAACTGGACATTTATTCTACTTTGTGAATCCTTTCCCTAAGTATCATCTACAAATACAGGTTTTTTCCTGTCACGCTTTCAAGAAGATCTTAAAACGGACCTATCTTTTCATTATGTTCTTTTAAACTGTTTCTTGTACACATTGGGCTCTACATTCACTCAAAATAAAGCGTAGGCTTCATATAAACTAGCATCTGAGTATGTGTGGATTCTTACTTATTAGACAAAAACCATAAAGATCGTAACAGATTTTCTGAAATTGCATAAGTTAATATGATTAGGTACGAAAAAAGGAGGTTGGGACTATGTCAAATGTAGACTACCAGGAACAAGGTAGGAACGTATAGTCGGTTGTGACTATCGATATAGAAAACACCATAGGTTGGTTACTTGTCCATTCATATAGGCTTTATTCAAACAAGGAGACAAAGAAATTTCAAATCCAAGGTGCTAATAGGCTATGTAGGAAGCTGCTAGTTTACCGAGTAAATTGAATGAGGTAAGTGAACCAAGTAATGTTAATTATATTAATTTGATAAGAATATCGTAATACATGGTTGTCTTAAACAATTACGAACCAGGAGCAGGAACAATGACAGAAAAACAGGTGTGGAACGACATCGTACCTACGATTATTTGTCTCATCATTAAGCGCAAACATTCAAGTATCAAGTAATGGTTAGTGGATCAGATTACTTCTTATCTAGATAGTGAACTTTCTAGGGTGAGGATAAACCAATTGTCCCAGGGCTACGGAATTTTCTAGTAGGTTTTAACATGGTTCAGTACTAGGACCTCTTCTTTTCCTAGTTTATATAAATGACTATCTAAAAGGTATCATCTAGTTTATTGCTTTTCGCTGATAATATGAAACTTGGGAGAGAAGTTGGCAACAGAGCTGAAAAGTTGGAACTTTTTTAGGATCTAACTCGGCTTCAATGTCTAGCGAACAGTAATGGACTTGCTTTCACCATTTCAGACCACAATTTAATCTACGTGAAACATGTTGCAGACTAAGTTCATGTTTGGAGGCATGTCAAGTTTCAAGGGATGTAGGAGTTTTGGCATCGTATGAGCTGAAATCCAACTCTAACTGCGTCAAAAATACTTTCCGAACGAACTTTTACCTGGTAATATTGAGGCGCAATTTCAGCAAAGACTTCAGAATTAATCTTTAATAACTTTATTTGACCGCAGTAAAAGTATGAAAATATAGTGTTACCTCCGTCACTCCAAGACGGAAAGAAATCTCTGGAGCAATCTTAACCAACAATTCTCAAGGCTGAAAATGAGATAACTGGGAAAATAGACATCCCTTGAACAACACACACACTTATCTAGCGTTATTCGGTTACGAATCAATGATTAGATAAATAAATATGCTTCTGCATTCAGAAAGAGGTTGTTCCTGATCTATGAATCTGGCTAAATGAACATAATAAACAGGTTGTCATACTCTAAGATTTATTACAAAAGCCGGTTCGAATAGTTTGAGAAGAATCTTTAGATATATACTACGGTGTAGAATATTTGTTGTACAAGATCTGAGTTGAAAACCAATGGAGGATTAAGTAAATGTTTTAATAGTCATTTTCTGAACTCTTTTATGTTTCTTATAAATCCTCTAACTATTTTTGTTTTCACAAATCTATCGAATTATCCAACGTATCTCATTTTAGGTTCCAAGGTGATGTATATCCACCATGGAAAGTTTTCGCTAATGATATTCTAGTTTTGGAAAACAACTGCTAAAACGTTACCAACAGTTCACTTCAGGAGAAGCTCATTTTCAAACTAAAGGATAGACTGAGAAACACGAATGCAACTGAGGTAATGAGGATATTTCAAACATCTACTATACCTTAATGCATAAACCTGAACTCGTTATTGGAACTGCAATAGGTTATTAGTAAATGAAATATGTAGCATACTTGGTTGATTGTATTTTAATCGATATTATCGAATTAGGTGAATTGGACATCCAACCTTGTTTTAGTTCTTAGGTCATAAAGTTTGTGAAAAGTCAAAGCTGTAATTCGTTTACACATATTAAGCTATGTATTGTTTAATTCTATGCAAAGAGACTTTCGGATCAGGGAATCTGATGACTGCTTTATACATTAGGTTAATAAGATCTAATATTTTGTTTATGTCGATGGTTTAGGGAGATCTTCGAACTATATCTAGAAGCTGAATTTATAAAAATTGTTAATATCAACTGTGAAAGTTCTTTGAAAGACATAGAAAACTTCAATCGATCTACCGCAAATCCTAAATTAGTGATTGCTCTCCATTTACGCCAATGCTCACATCTTGTCAGTCGTAAGTTTCTCTTGTTTTTCTGGTCATGTATTTCCATTTGTGTTTAAAATCTAGTATTGTGCATAGTACGACGCAATATGCAAACTTAAAAGGTGTTTTTTAGTTTCGTGAAGACCTGTGAACTATGCAATTTGTTACAATCGGGTATTTGTCTCCTTAGTACGGTTTAGTATTTAGAAAGGATTTCTGTATACTCTATAAACAAATGACGCACTCTGATTTATGATTTTTATAACTAAGTGCTTGGGTCTGTAAAAAGCTTCAAGCTGTTTATTTTACTTGCGTATTCTTTCTATCTAGATTATCTTCATTCATTTGATATAAGACTCTAAATATTTTAGCACAGGAACGTGGATTGTTCTTGCCAGTCCTACCAATTGAAAACATTTCAATAGTACAATGTTTCCAAGTTTTTCTGTTTAAAAGTTATAAAGATATTATCTATCTTAGAAGATCTTCAAGCATTTGTTAGTCTGATGTGAAATAATTGGTTCCGAACTTTCATGGTTACATATTTCTCGTTTTAAGATGAAAAGAACTGAAAGGCATTTTAAACCAAAATCACTATTCAGCATTTCGCACCTGATGCTTATATCACCTGGGAAAGATTAAGTTATCTTTTTTTATTTATACAATACTTTATATATTTTCTTATCCAACTTCGATATCATTGTTTAGATCTACTTCTGTAGTTAGAGTTCTTGTAACGCCCATCCTTTAGTTGTATAAAGCAGTACAACACACTCGAAATTTTCTCATCAGCTCCTCAATATTCAAATAACCGATCAATATTTCCTTAAACACTTTTTAGTCGTTTCAGAAAATCATATAATGTCTCTCTAGTCATGATCATGAGTTGTCCTAACATACGATGACTTTGCTAAAGACATCACTAAGTTCTAAACTTCTTTTAAACAAACACAGAAGTCTCATTGACCTTCTCATTTCTGAGTGATAAATTACGGTGAAAAGACGATCAACCGATGAGATTTTATGTCCAAATTAATCAAATCACATACGCATTGATGTTAGATAGGATTACACCGTAGATCATCACTATTTATGACTTTGAGCTTATTTCACGACGAAGAAACGTTTGATCAAGATTGTCCTATACATAGTTGTTTTAACTTTCAGAAATAAGAAGTCGATAAGTCGTCAAAATGCTTGTTCTGTTCTCGTACTTAGTGCTATGCCTACACCTGCCGGTCTACGAGAACTAGCCATCGGGTCGCCAGATACACGTTGTAGTGGACTGACTGACTAACGTCAAAATGCTTGTTAATAGCTCTTTTAAATAGTTGTCAAAAATATAAGAGGAATTACTGTGGATATTTAAAAACTATTGATCATTGCTATCTGTACATAATCAGTGGCAAAGAAGAGTAAAGTATTACACAAAAAAAACGTTCTCTGGGGCGGAGTAGTTGTCGAGATCTATATTGGGTGTAAGATTAAAAGTCAAATTTATATTCAAACAATCCCAAAATGGTTGCTTAATCTACTTCAAAAAGGCAGTATAGAACATGAGCATTTTTATAAATTTGACTAAAATGTCATTAAAGTCTTACATTCATTGAAAAATGGGACGAATAATACTTGACTGAGTGATATACATTGCTCTTACAACAAACTATAATAGTTTTGTTCAAGTGACCTTATCTGTTAAATTCAAATGGTTTAAAGTTTAACAATATTAAATTGTTTGCGTTTAACATTGGACGGTAATTAAGTGATTGTTGGTTCACTGAGTTACTAACAGTCAGTAAACCAGAGCATTGCGATTTCGAAGAAGACCAAAATTAGTAGTGCAGTTTTTTTGCATATGTAAACTAATCATACATACTTCGGATAACCAGTAAAGCATTTGCCAATAAACGACTCAGTTTTACCGAAAATCTGGAGTCTTTTATTTATTATTTCACATTTCTCTCACTCATTTTAGACCGCCCTATAAATTTTTCGATATCATATTCTATAAGATTGTCAGGAAAGTAATAAACATCCAAAGGCATGGCAATACAATACTTTTTTAAAGTTGGATGGTGCTTACAAGACATAAATTAGTTGGAAATTTATCCGTAAGACAACCTTAAAAAGTCCCTGTCGTGCATTTTCTGAATACAAAAGGTTTTCATCAAAACACACTCAAGTTCGCTTTGGCCTAATTGATCGTTTAGCTAGTGCCTTTGCATTTTGGCATTTCATTTTTCAATCCCACGAAAATTTTCTATATTTGATCAACCACAGAGTAGTGGTCGGTATCATGTTCTTCTAGTTTTTTAGTGCTGAATAAATTTTTTTGACGTTGTTGTAATATGTTTACTGGTTTAAGTAACTTATCATAGAGTGGACTATATTTAAATGTTGGGTGATTAGTGGCTGTCGACGAAAAACAGTGGGCATAGGTTTTAGTCCGTTATGTCTCGAATGGCTTAATGGTAACATTTCAGATTTCGAAAGTGTTTTGGGTCACTTTCAGTCTGCTATCGAGCATCAGCTCCCACAAATTTAAAGATACTCGCTGCTGAAGACGAGTTCTACTCGCATCCCGATTTATATCGACTTTAACTCAACCATAGTGCATAAAAGCGTTTAAGCTGTCCCGCTTTAAACTGACCAATGTGATAAATATTCATTAAAATTATGTCAGCCATAACGGACCTGAAATCTTTGCAGAAAAATAAGTATGTTAAGAAAGATAGTGCACTTGAAAAATCGGGATTATATACCACAGTTTCGGTTATTTGTAGCTTCTTTAAAAACCCTTAGTTAAAATTAATTTTCAAACAAGAGCAAAGATATAAGTTGATTTTGATATTTGTAAACTACAATATAGTGTTAAATTTCAGGTAACATGTATAAAGTCTCTGTTTTGGAGTCTATCTTTCACCGAAACGCAAAAACACTAGGAAATTATTTCGTGGATTTAAGTGCCTCTGTAGCAAAGTTTATTATTTTCGAAAGCTCATCATTGGTGTTTCTTGTTTTCAGACCTACGCTAGTTAATGAATATTATTTGTTTATGATGGAAAATGGAAAAAGTTTCCCATACTTGTGGTTAATTTTTATACTGATGATGCAAGAATAATTAAAACCATTATTTATATATAGTTTGTAATTTTTTCATTGTTTTGAAGTGCTGGACAAAAGTATACCTGTTCTTGCGATCTGCACTGGGACTGACATAAATATAGATAGAACTCATGGGATATATCTGAAGCTGATGACATATTTAGTTGACCGAAGTTTGTAAGTTTAATTTCTCTGCATGTGTTATCCGTTTAAATAATTTTTCACCTTAGTGCAGTTGTTTTATTCAACCAAACAATGCTGAAGCAGTTCAAAGAAACTTGGGTAAGAAAATAAATTACGATTATTAAACAGTGATACATAGTTTATTTAAAAAACTAGTTCGAACAAGTTACAGAATAACATCATCTTAGCATATTAAATGAAGTTTGTGTGTAATTACGTAAGGAAGCAAGGCATTGTATCCGACCTTATGTATCTTGACATTTCCTATTTCAGTTGTTAGTTACTTTTGGAAGAATGCGAATTGTTAGGTTTGGCATATATGGTACTGTTTGATGGAGCCAGCTTTGCTGTATTATTGGTTATTTTGTCATCCATTGTTTACATGTATTAGAAGAAAGGTTTTTCCAAACATTGAACCATTTATCCCACAATATCCCACAAATAAATATAGCATTGGTTTGTTAAGGAATACATAGGAGATATGTTAAAAGTGATTCTATAGTAACAGCCTTATTTGTTTTTTTGGAACATTTGACCTGAAATTTCAAGAGTTTAGTAATTTTTATTCATCAAAATCGATATTTTTGGACACCACAAAGCCACTTATAAAATCACTGAGCTGGTTTTTATTTGAAATGATATTTAATAAGTTTACTTTGAAAAGATAATTTCCTGGACATATTTGATATTTAGAATACACTAACTGTTTAACAGCGCAGACCCTCCATCCTGGGGAGGCAGTTTCCAGCAATAAAACCGAATAATCAATCTCAATATATCTTACATCAGTTCTCTTTTATTTTAAACGAAGACGTCTCAGGACATTTGAATTTTACTACAAAATAGTTTCAGTAAAGTGATAACCATTTAAATCCCTCGTAGATTAAAGTTCTTAGCTGGTTTTTCCTCCCTTGATTTCCTTCAATGTGAGGTTGAAGAAGTTGCACAAGTATTTAGTTGGTAGCAACTGTGTGGTGGATAAACTTTAATAAACACATGAACCATGAATGACCTATCCATGATACCTGATGATTCTGTTCCAATGCACAATTTTAGTCCAGAAAAATACAATTTTCTTGGGTTGTAGATCCAAATCTTAGAGTTATATCAATAAATTGATGTAGCTATGACAAATGAGTCATCCCCCAAGAGTCATCAGTAATTAAAACGGTATTACAGTGTTGTATGTCAAACAAAGAATCTATCACTGAATTCAATTTCATCACAATGCTCAATCTTTCATATGAAGAATGACATATATCATCGGAGCAAGTTAAATATATTAACTAAATTTATCAACTTTACGGTTTACGAAGTTTCATATTTAATGTCACAACGCACCAGCTTGACTCTGTTTAGCGACTTCGCGTTTTTACTGACTTTCTATTTTGTAGCTATATATCTTCCTTTACCGTTATAGCGGTAATAATTCGCTTGGCTCACATGTACCTAGGCCAATATAACATACTACTATACAACATCTTATTTTACGTTACTTATGTTCATGTTCAATGTGACTGATAATCTAGCAGCATAATTATTATTTTCTATTTGATTTCTCAATTCTTTCATATCTTAAAGGCTATAAGTGAAAAAATCTACAACCAGATCATTTCACTTGGTATCAGTCATTTCGCTTTATGTTCACTTTTAGTGCTGAATACTAGTTTCTTTACGAACAAACATAATATTACTCTTATATGATAAGCAGTTTGATTTTACAGCATACTTCAAGCATGTCACCCTTAGCAAGTTTATACTAATTATTAACTTGTCAGAGTTAATATAATCTTCTCAAATACTTTAAAACTGAACGAAATAACTGATATAGCTTAATTTTAATTTATAGGTATTGTAAATTACATTCTACTCATGTCCAAAGCTTAACCAAGAATTACATGTAAATGTAACTAAACTTCTCAACGAAATTCGATGAATCATTCCATATCCAGTAACTAATATTTTTTAGTTGCCATTTTTATCTTTTCCAATTCCTGGAAACATTACATAAATCTAATACAGCCTTATTCTATTTTCACTCTAGTCATTTTTTGTGTTTGCCAAAATTTTTGAATGCTTGTGTTAAAATTTGATTAGATACCTTTAAATGCAATCAGATATTCAGTAGCTCATACGTCATTGACATAATAAATGTTGCTAAATTCTAAATCAATTCGAAATATGAATAAACAGCATATAGAACTAATCACACGTTCACAGATATGTATTTTTTATAGTTTACTTAAAAAATCTACCTGTTTTTTTCCATCTTATACAAAATATTTAGCCTGATTATCCTGGTCAGCTGCAAGTCATACACCAAGGTAAGTATATATATATATATACATATATATATATATATATATATATATATATATATATATATATATATATAACACTCGATTTTGACTGCTGGCTGCCATCATTTACATGGTTAATCTGTTTAAAAAACTAACTTCTAACACTAAATTTACACCTTTAATTATTTTGAGCTATCTTTTTGCTGTCGTTTTGTTTCTATTTCCGCTCAACAGCTTAATTGTTACATCAATAGTCAAGGTTATGTTCATTGTTAAATGAATTTTGTTAATGTCTTGTAAAAATAATAGAAAACATACTTCTTCAATTATTTTATGTTGTCACTTTTCAAGCTGACTAAGGAAAATTCATGTAAGCGTTAGTCACCAATCTAATTAATACCAGAATACAATCATTGTGTGTACATTATTTGTGCTGAATTTGTTTTACAGTTGCGTTCCAGTTAATCAGTACATTCTTACCCCGAACGGTGAAGATCACATGCACACGATGAATAGGTAGATCTAAAGAACTAATGTCGAGTTAAATGTAAGCAACTATTTGAATAATGTTATTGGTCAGATGTTTCTGCTATGTGGTATCTTCATAAAATGACAGTGGTTCATTATTCGTTTTCATGAGCTACCTCGCATAATAATGTTGGTAATGTGAAATAGCTAATCTGATCCAGAATTAACAACAAGGATAAAATACAAATTTGGATTATAGTAGAATACATTTCGACTGTTAACTATTTAGTTGAATTTAAATAAATTGATATTGTCTACCAAAGTTACAAAACGTGTAGTTTATTTTCACATATCAATAAAGCGGAAGTTTATGGAGTTAAGAATTAGATAAACAATCAAATATTCATGATCTAACATGTAGTATGTGTTCATCATCCTAATGACAGGAATTAATAAGGACTTTATGACAGATGTTTACCCAAACATACTTGGATTTATCTATGGCCCTGTTCCTAGTTTATATTCGTGTTCGCTCTCTAAGGATTTATAAATCAAAAGTTTTGTGAATTATTTAATTTTCATGTAAACAAGGAATCTTGATTTTTAGCAAAGTGATGTACACAATAAACCCTACGGTGAATATCATATATTGTTTGTTGTGTTAAACGAGACGAATTAATAATAAACGCAGTGTTGATGTATAATAAGTGTTGGCTGCATGATTTAAGCACTATCGATCATTGCGTTAATTTTAAAAACAGTTTCTATCATGAATGTTTTTTAAAACTGACCAAGACAAGTAAATGTAGAAAGTAGTAAATAGCACTTTGTTTTTCCGTGTTTTGCTAGAATATTCTCAGAATGAATTAAAACATGATACACCATAAAAAATTTCTCTCTTTGTGAGAACATTTTGGAAGTTTATGAGCTTGAGACTTTGACACCCGTCTAAAGAAATATCACTAATTGTTTATTTACTACGGAATACTCAAACACCACACATGGTTTCAAGAAAATCATGTTTCTTCAGAGTATTACAACTGTCATGCCTATAATCCTTTTGAAGATGATATTAAAAGAAAAACTTTATGATTAGTTAACCACGAATTGTATTGTTTACCTGTTGTTAGATATGTAATCAAAATAAAAGTATCTGCTGCTATTACTTAATCCTATATATGCAAAAATGAACAAATATGCAATCATAATTGTCAGAAGCACTGTATAAAAGTAGTCTGTACTTCGTAAATATAGAAATTGACATTTTCTAGCATTTAAATGAAGCAAGAATAACAACGTTTTTGGTTTGACTAGATTTTTCAGTAAAATTAACTATATGAAATTTCAAGGATCTACTTTGTTATCTTGCATATCAGTCATGTCACCTCATTTGTCGAATATGTTACATTACTTAAAAGATTCCGATCAGTTGGATTTTAGTAGATGAGTTTTATGTTCATTTACAAAATGATCAAAACATAATTGTTATATTTTCCATGTTTCCAAAAACCGTTTTAATCTCTGATACCTCTCATATACATAATTTTATTGCAATTTCTACTTTAACTCGCTTTGTAGATTAGATACACTTTGATAATGAAATAGACACACTTTTTATTAACTTATGCTAGTTAAATTGAAGTACAGATTTCATTACACGGAATGGTGAAATACATAAACAATTTAAATTACGTTGTGTTCTAAATACTTAAACTTTCTTAGAATGTGACATCTTTAAACAAAAATGCATGATATAAAAGTCGGTTATTGACACAAAAATTGTTATAATGTTATCTGGATTAGTGATGAAAAAAAACGTTTAAGCTTATAGAATCTAATTATCTAGAGAAAATTTCGATCATTAAATGTTATGAATTCGGAAAGGAACTTATGAACTTTATATATATTAGGTTTGTCTCAAAAACACATTTTTATTTTTAATTATTTTTGGAAAGATCACTGATAAAATTTGTCTCTTGTCAGCAGCCAGTATTAATTTCATAAAAATTTTTATGTAAGAGAATATATGTTGATATCATTTAATTGTACACTCTGCTGCGTAAACTTATTTTAAGCTTATTAGCCTACTTGCGATTTCGCCCCCAAATGCCCTGGTACGGCCGAGAGTGGGGAGAGTCCGCTCTCCCTCTCGAAATGCTCTCATATGGCCACGCGTATACAGCCCCTGCCAGGGAAGTCCTACTCACTGCCTTCTCGTGGTGGGGGTGTTGTTTACAAAAATGAGAGGACGAAAAGCGAATGTCCGGCGCTATAACCGGATCCCAATTCTATGGTGCACATGGGCTCCAGTATCCTGCGGGAACAAATGGCGTATGAACCAATCGTTGGTCACCGGCTACCATGAGACTGCATCTCCTCATGATGCTCCATTGCCTTGTGGGTCAGACGTTCAGGTCGAAGGCTCGGGGTGTGGCCCCCTAAGAAAACCACCTACTTCGGTTTGGGCACCCGGTCAGTATCACAGCCCTCACACATATCAAATGAGATATGTGTGGCGCATATGTATTTGGTGCCTTCTTGTACCGATATTTATGTGTTAAAATAAATAAATAAATAATAAATACTTGCGATTTCAATGTTAAGATTTCAGACGTTACTTAGAAGTTAATACCATCCTATTTAAATATGTGTGATATACATATGTTGCTTAAAAATCAGACATTAATGGTAGATATTTAATTAACGAAGGCTATTTCCCAGTTATCTTATGACCTCGCATGAACATACTTTATAAACATGAAACAAATAACACTTTTTATTTATATAGCAGTATTTCATATATGACTACCGATTAATAGTCCTTATTTTACATCCATCCTGGAATTATTTCAAATTTAGTTGGCTTGAAACTGTTAGAGTCTGTTTTTTGTCAAAGAGCTTAGGTATTTTGAAATTAATTAAAGAATTGTTATTACCAAACTAATATTTCTTAGTAGATCGACATATTTCGAATAAGTTAGTACTCGGACATACATTTTGATTAGCGATTAAAATCAAAGAAATTGAGAAAGAAGATGATGAATATGTCTTTAATTTAGGATATATATTTTAGCAGAAGAACTAAGTCACGCCTTTGTAAGACGGCTTACATCAAACAACTTCAATTCTTTATGATCACAATTATCACTATGTTTGAATTTGAATTTTAAATCAGTGTCAGACTATGTGTAAAAAGAAATATTTTCCTTAGGTAAACCAACAAAAATCATATGTTTACACTTTCTTTGATTGCGTGTAAATGTAAAAATATACATTAAAGTGTACAATTCGCTTTCTGTGAAGTGAAAAATTCATTTGCGTATATACTTGTCACAATTAGTACGTATTCAGCAAAGATGCAACTAATAGAAACAAGTACTTTAAATGAACCCGACTAAAAAATAAACAATATTGTATGTTTATTTGAATTTGCTTTTACTTTAAAACTACTTTTAGATCTATAACAACTCTATAAAACACAGCATATTTGTTGTTACAACGACATTTTCTCTAGAACATGTGACTTTAGTATAAACTTTAGAGAATCTAAACGTTACAGAATATTTGTAGTGATACCAGATTACCTTGGATTAGGAGTAATTTAATGCTCTGTTTTTGTGTTTGTTGCATAAAGCAGAGAGAAAGATCCACATAGCTTTTTCTGTACATATTACTAGATTACGTTTTGCATGTACTAGGTTGGTTTAACTTGTAATTTACTTTAAACTTCATAAAAATTTTTATTGAATTCAAAGAGCGTAAAAGACTATAAAAGAATACTTTTATCCTTTCCTTCAGTAATATATAATTTGATAATAACATTCCAAACTACTTATTAATGTAAGATATTCAGTTTCGTACACTGGTGGTATTAATGTCAAAAAGGTTTGAAACTGATCACAATTTGCATATCAACAGTACTCACAAATCAGGAAACGTTTTTATATTTTTAACTTCACTTACTCATTCGACGTATCCATCCTGAAATTACCCGTTTTAATAAATGGAAAAATAAGCTAAATGAGAATTAGTCTGTTAATATATAGTATTTTCTCATGAAAATTGTATACTATATGTGATTTTTACAAACAGTTGAATATTCATCATGGACCTTGCTCATACACTGTGAGAACAATTCATTGAGGTATGCGCTCTCGTAAGTTTATTCACAGGAGTTCTCTTAATCAAAAAATGCAAATTATTACATTCTATATAGTCTGATATTAATCAGAAAGCAAATTTTACACCAATATCCTATACTGATAGACAATTTTTATCAACTATAAAGTATGTATACTTAAATAAAAAAACACTTTCTACCTTCCATAATGAACTAAAGCGTACTAAAAAGAAGAATAACCAATGAAATCTATATTTCTTTATTTTCTTTAACCGTTACTTCATGACGCTATTCAGGTGACGTATTACTAATTAATGGGGAATAATTTTTCCTTTACGTTAGGGTAATATATCCTTATTGAATGATAATATCTGTCGTGTCTTATGACTCTGAAATATATTTTCTCCTCCTTAATAATTCAACAAGAAATCGCCGTTAATGTATAATGATCTATCGAACAAAATAATGCACACAGAAACACATGTATAACATTTGATGATATTAGTTAAAAGAAACACTTGTACTTTTAATGATAAATGCGAAAGAATCAAGTTAAATAACATATTTGCGATTTCATATTTATAAACATTATTTTGTCAGTTATTTGTTCTATAAATCCTCACAATATATTATCTTAATTCTTTCAAAATATTTGTTGAGAAAATTTTCCTTTATTAGTTTATTTTATAATGACATTAAAATTGATTACTAATATTTTTACAAGTGATCAGTTAAAGAATTTTGTTCGCAAGAATTGGAAAGAATCAAAATGTATGGTGGTTGATAAACCAAAATTTAACACGTATTTATAAATTACGTAATGAGACTTTAATTTCTTAGGAATATATATAACCATTATATAGTAGGGACTACTTTTAAAACTTATACTCACTGACGAATATCCAAGAGAATCAAATAAAACAGACTAAGAAACATTAGAGTTCCTGTATTCATGAATACTTTGTTTTTCTACTAATAATTATTTAAAGCGATTAGTCCCTTTGATAATTAATAATTGAAACAAGGCATAAGATTGATCTAAACTCGGCTTTTATGGTATTGTATAAAAGTGTAAAAGGGCGTATACTAAGGTTTATTGAAGCCTTGATCATATGAAAATTCAAACCCCCTTTGTGTATTCAAAAACAGTTTGTTCTTACCTTAAACCTACCCTGGTAATATTGACTTATTATCCAGAGTGATTAGGTTTTGAATTGTGTTCAGATTATTATTATTATTATTATCCTTATCTCCTCTTACCCCATTTCCAGTCTATTTGACCTTTTATTTTTATATACAAATGCTCTTAACAAGTATATGTGTGATCAGATTGTTCGAAATGTATTGCACTAATATATCACATACTTCTGATATTAACAAAACATTCACTGAGAATGAACAAAATAAATGTGCTTGTTTTATTTTTTTTATATAAATATTTAGATAAAATCATCGAGGAACTTCATTTGTTTTATTTATTCTAATAAATTAGTCAGATTTACACATTATTCGATAGGTTTTTTTAGATAATTCTTATAATAATTATTCTATACCTGATTATGAAACATCACAATCTCATGACCACCCTTAGCAAATTCAAACTATTAATACTTCAATACTAAACTATTAAATACAGAAAATGTATTTTTATTAGTAAATTAATTTTTGTCAAGAAATCATTTGTTCAACTGATTATTAATATGGGTATTAAATTCATAAAAGTCCTGTGTTTATTATGAGATTTCTGAATGTGTATTGAATAAAGGTTTAAACCTGAGTTTCGTACTAGTTAATAACAGTCATCAATGAAAATCCTTAATAAATTGATACCTCTCATCAAACTCAAATTTATGTCATCCGATATAATGAATATTCAAGCAAAATCACTTGAAATCAAATCTGTTGTACTAAGTTTATTCAGTTAAATAACTCATATATGGAAAATAAAACAACTTAAATCTGATTTTCTCTGTTTAATTTAATCTAGATATGGACTTTCATATTCTAATCACAGCTTCTATTTAAAAAATCTGCCTCATGAGATATGGTGAACTGGAAATTATTATACAATTAGTTTCTTTTATGAGCTCAACTAAACGCAGATTTTTAAAATCTAAATTTTTACAGTTATCTAATCTTTCCGATGATTAGTTTGTAGTGAATATGAAGTGATCTGCGGACTCCACATTTTACAAGGGTTTTTTGTCTCATATGATCTCATGTATATGCTTCTTAAATAACCAATACTTTTATTCCGTAAAGACTTTTACTCAGTTAGTCTCCAGGTTTTAACATCTTATTTCTTCTCTCTCTTTTACATTGTAGCAATACGGGTTGACGTTGAGGACGCAAATCACTTTAAAAAAGACATTCTGACGGCAATAGAATGTAAACTAGGAGTAAAGTTGCAGCCGTTCTTCATTATTGCTGGCCTTTTGAGAGATGTAAAAGATCCAATGTTCGCACTTCAAGCATTCCTAGGTAAATAAACAAACTTCAATTCCTACTATATCTTTACTTATATTCCGTGACTACTTATAAGTAGGTAAATCAAATTTATGATTTCATTATGTGTAACCAAGGCTTATTTCTTTTCTTTACTTTGAAGACGAGATAGAGTACCAATTCACGATATTGGTTGTTGATATTAAACTTTCAGCGGCTACCGCTGGTAAAAATTTTTATTATTTTAAATTAATTCGTAAGCTTTGTTGAGCTGGTATTCCTGACTGAATTTTGATCACTTTCGGCATACGTGAAACCTGAGCGGATTACCTCGATATGTTCATTTTGTCACACGTTTTGTTAGAGGAACGAATTGGGGTTGACAATGGGATTTCGAACGCCTTACATGAGCCTATTTGATACTGAATTATCCATGGAATGAGTCTCGAGTAGTATGAAACATGCGTCCCGGATTCCACCGCGAGCCACAACCCATTTGTTCTATGAAATATATATTTGTCTTCCTCGCATCGTAAATCTGCATTGACTATTTACAGTGATGAATAATTTCTTTCGTGAATTGACAAAGTTGCCCGGACCGTGTAATATTTTCCAAAACAGAACTGTTTTCCTTGACAACTGATAACTCCTATTTAATGACAGAGCACATACGTAAATGAATCTCCCCTGACTAGACTGGCAGATTATGATTAATTTCGCACCACAAATAGGTTTTCATTATTGTTTACCATATAAACTCCAGCCCAGTGACCTAGAGGTTAAGCGTCCGTAAGCGAAACCAAAGGTTCAAAGTTTTGATCTCGTTATTGGGGTCCTGGATGAGCACTGAGGTCAATTCGTAACCTCAATGAACATCTCAAGTGAATATCGAAGGATATATACTCGTGTTACGTTGATTACTACTTAAATTTTGAGTGACCTATGGTTCGTTCGAATTTATCTTCTACTAACACAACAGACTACTTGTGCCTACATAGCTATCTTCCATTTTGAGTACATTATTGAAATATATAAATTACTGAAATGGTTTATCCACTATTCTGGATTTTATTTGATTACTTCTTAAAATGTTCTATTTTTCAGTCACCAAAACTCCAGTAATACCTAATCATAACTAATTTAATGGCATAAATATACAGTAGTCACTTTTTCCGTACTTCGTTCAAGCATTTTTGTCAAATTTCTATTTTATTTGTTCTTGTTTACCCAGAATGGAGAAATCAAGATAAAGAGAATAAAAATTCGAAAGTTACTTCAAGCATTAATTATAAATCTTATAATCTTTTATATGTTGGATCAGTTGTAAGTTATTCAATACTTGTTGTAATTAATATGAATATAAAAAATTGTAACAAAAATCACCAGCTCAAGTCATTATTTTCTGACTGAAATGTAGATTAACAAATAGTGCATTGTTAAATGTAATTATAGGACATGTTAGGTAACTAGTTTATTGAACTGTTATAAGATTACCACAAGTAAACTCGGTGGAAGAGTTCAGACTGTCGTTTGAATGCGTTAAAATAAGTTTAGGAAATTATGCAAGTCTAGATTTATATTTTTACAATGTCGTATATACAGAAAATATTGATCTATATGTCTTACCTGTCACCATGCATTTTTACTCAGTATGATATAAATAAGATTTTTGCAGTGTACTGTTTTATTTCTTTTTAAGCAATATCATATTAATTTGACGGTCATTTTAAATTGACAACAGACATAATATAATATATCTTTGCTTGTAACGCATTTCTTATATCGTTCTAAGAGTGGACCGTAAGCAAACATTAAAAACGCTGAATTCATATACAAGATTAAAAATGTCATAACTATTTAAAAGAATAATTTAATTGATTTTATGATGCGATGTATAGAATGTGTGTAATAGATTTATGCGGAAACACCGTTTCAAAGATATCATTGCTTAGTTCCCACTATTTGTTACTATCTGATTTGAACAATCGAATATCATCTTTTTGAAACTAACATAAGCTAATTTTAGGGACTGATTTTGTATTACTGTTGGGACTACTCCGAAAACCCCAACGAAACCATCCGAGGCTCTGAAAGAGCCGAAGTGATCTCATCCAGTCAGAACATGATAAGACCTTATAAAATATCGACGTGATATGCTGTTCTTGGAAAATTGAATAACTTACCTACTTGTGGGTTGGCTAGATTATAATGATGTTATAGCCAATACTAAAAACTATGAATATCCCTGTTTTTCTGTACATTTTTGACTCTTACCTGATAATCGTTTCCCTTGCTTCATCCGTCATTTGATTTGAGACTATGGGGTTATACATATTCAAGTGCCAATAGCTGTATACCGTATTTTTCCGTAATCAAGTAGGGGATGTAATAATTACTGCTTTCAATTAACACTACTGGAGATTCTAATTTAAACCTTGAGGTAAAACATTGATCAAGTTAATATTTTCAGGTATATATTTTATTTGTGATTGGTGGTGATTACTAAACAAACGCTCAAACTGAAATATGTCTAAATTCTGTTTTTTTCATGTAATTTACAAATTAAAATGGAATTAAATCAGTGTATTTAATAGTTATGAACATAATACCTTGATGAACAACTGATCAGTTATTGTGAAGCCATATATTTTTTTGGAGAGTTTCCAAATTCCAAATTAATTATTGTTACTATTGATGACAAAATATTATTCATTTTATTAAGGAGTCTGAGATTTTCATTTAATCAATAAGAATACAAGAAATTTATCAAAAGACAATGTTAAATATGGTCATAACTTTGAGATTTTGAAGTCGCATGAATTTCTTACTTTTTAGTACTAACTGTAAGAATGAACTTTCTGAACTCGATACTTCAGGTATCAATTAGGATTTACTTGAGTCTGAGTAATAATAACAATACGTAAAAGACGCAATTTATAACTATATTGTTTAGAACTCTGTAAATAAATAAATATACATGTTTGTTCAAGTGTATCCCCACCATTAATCACCGATCCACTGACTTCACTTTTGGAATCAGATATAAATTGTGCAACATAAAATCTTAGGTGAAGACTACTACAAAGTGACTTTTCGACAGATAAGAAATACAAAAGTTCTCTACTTCATGTATTACTACTTAGTTCGATAAAATATTTCAAGATGTTTTTAAAAACTTTAAATAGCTAACAATCTATTGTATGAGTTATTAATAAACTAACTCTGAAGTGGAATTAAAACTAATAACCTTGTGGTAGATACTTATCCAAATACTTTAGTTAGGATGTAATTTAGTCACAAAAAACAGGAATGACTTATAATTCTGCGGAACGAGCCTTTTTATGGTGTACAGATAAAGTGAACAATTTACAATCAATTCCATACTGGCAAATGAATATACATCGTAGTCTGTCAGAGTAATTTCAATTTTTTATAAATTCATTTAGGAATCTGAATCACTTGAGACTAATCTTCATTGTATAATTCACAGCGGCTACAAATTACTGATGTATTCTGCACTCAGGAAGTAGGTATTTGAACTTTACTTAATGAACTTATATGTGGTTGCTCTATGCTAAAACTACACAGCCATAGAACGTCAACCGAACTTAATCGAGTGTATTCAATATAAGAAAAGGGAAGTATAGTCATGTTTATGAAACATTCTGTTGTCTCCTAAAACAGCGAGCATATGACAATGCGTCTGCACGAATTTATAAATAACATGAAAAAAAAATTCAACAAGACCATATTAAAAAGTAAAGCTGTAGATGACTAAAAAATGAATATAGACTATTAATTCATGACAGATGAACGTAAAAACTCGAATGATAAAAAATGACAATATGGATTTTAGGACGTTCCTAGTATCAGTTTTTTATAATCAACATAAATTTTTATATTTCATTTTAAATCAGTCAGAAAATAAAAGTTTGACTGATAAATTTTCACTCGTTACTCACTTTATACAATTCGATTACATATTCACATATCCAATCAAATTAAATAGCGACCATTGTGGTTCAGTCTATGTTCTCACATCCAGATCAATGAATAACAATAAAGTAAATCTGTTTTTGTGACACTTACAGGAGTACACATAACTTCGCACGAAATATGAGACGTAATTACTGAAAACCTCTACGCGTCGTAAAGGAGTACAGGCTGTCCATAAGCATTCTCCATCCAACTATGTCCTGGAATATCCTTCCCGGTTGGTATTCATCCTCTTCACGTCCACCTCCAATTCCCAACGCAGTGTGTTCCCTGGTCTTCATCCTTCCCGTTTACCTTCAGCATTCCAAGTTAGCGTTTGCCTCGTGATGCAGTTCAACGATCTCCTCAATGTGTGTCCTGTCCACCTCCAATATCTTTTCCTAATTTCCTTTCCAGCTGGAAGCTGGTTTATTCTCTTCCACAATAGACTGTTGATCATGGTATCCGGCCAACGAACATTGAGCATCTTGAGTAGACAAGTATTTATAAGTACTTGTACATTTTTGATGATAGTTGTAGTAGTTCCCCAAGTTTCAGCTCCGTACAGTGCGACTGTTTCGACGTTCGTATTGAAGATTGTGACTTTGATATTGGTTGACAGTTATTTTGAGTTCCGTATGTTCTTCGACTGTAGGGATGCTGTTGTTGCTTTACCAATCCTTACCTTAACGTGTGCATCGGATCCTCCTTGTTCATGACGATGCTGTCCAGGTGGGTGAAAGTTTCCACCTCTTCTGGAGTTTCGCCATCAAATGTGATTGGTTTGGTTGGGGTTCTGTGTGTTGTATTTGAGGATCTTGGTTTTTCGCTTGTGTATGTTGAGTCCTGCTGATACAGTAGCAGCTGCTACACTGGTTGTCTTCAACTGCATTTGTTGGTGTGTATGTGTGTGAGAGAGATATCAGAGCTAGTTCATTACTTACTTACTTACTTACGCCTGTTACTCCCAATGAAGCATAGGCCGCCGACCAGCATTCTCCAACCCACTCTGTCCTGGGCCTTCTTTTCTAGTTCCATCCAATTCTTGTTCATTTTTCTCATATCTATCTCAATTTCCCGGCGTAATGTATTCTTTGGTCTTCCTCTCCTCCTTCGACCTTGAGGATTCCATATGAGGGCTTGTCTTGTGACGCAGTTCGGTGCTTTCCTCAATGTGTGTCCTATCCACTTCCAGCGCTTCTTCCTGATTTCTTCCTCCACTGGGATCTGATTTGTTCTCTCCCACAGTAGGTTGTTGCTTATAGTGTCCGGCCAGAGGATCTGAAGTATTTTGCGTAGACAACTGTTAATAAACACCTGTAACTTTGAATGCATCTTTCAGTTGTCCTCCATGCACCACTTTGCTGTGTAGTCCTTCGTATAAATTCTGGATTTGTGTAGCTATGTCATCAGCATATCTAATCTTTCATTCTGTTCAACAATACTCTATTGAAAATTTTTCCTGATTATGAGAGTTTTATACCTCAGTAGTTCTCACACTTGCTGAGATATTCCTTTCTTTTGTATATTGATGCGATATCCTTCTTTCCAGTCTGTTGGCAGCTGTACTTTTTCACAAATCTTTCTGAATAGAACGAGGAGTATGTTTGCACTTGCTTCTATGTCTAATTTCAGCACTTCAGTTGATATGTTGTATGGTTCTGCTGCTTTCCAACTATTAATTTGTCTGATGGTCACCCTGATTTCTTCGATCATTGGTGGAGCGACAGCAGTATAAAAGTCTGCATGTGTTGTTTCAATGTTTGTTTGATTCATTGTGGCTGATCTATTCAAGAGCTCTCCAAAATACACTAGCCACCTGTTCCTCCGTTTTTGAATCTCAGTGATTGGCTTGCCTTTTTTATCCTTGACCAATCTCTCTGGTTTACTATATTTCCCTGCTGGTTTCTCCGTTGTGTCACCTAGATGTCTCATATTTTTTCTGTTGCAGCTTTCCCGCTGTCTTCCACGTATTTCTGTTTGTCAGTTTTAACGTCCCTCTTCACCTGCTTGCTTGCTTCTGTGTATACGACCTGTGTTCTTGTTCGGCTGTTGTTAATTGCTGTCACATTGTTCTTGATTTCTTGAATCGTGGGCAGGGTTTTGATACAGATCCATTCCTCATGATGATGCTTCTTGTAGCTCACACCCTCCTGACGCGTTGAACTTAATGGTTCATTGATCCCTTGCTACTTGTTCTCCATTGTAGTTCCCCCTATTTTGACTGCAACCTCACATAAATCTGACCCTTATTGTCTTCGTTGTTATCATTGGCAGGTGCATAGCAGCGGATAACATTAATTGTTATCCCCTCCTTTTTTGTTTTGACGACGCTGGATCTATAAAATTCCCATCCCATAACTGCTCTTCGTGCTTCTTTGAACAGCATTAGTGCAACTCCTTGTGTGGGCAAGGTATTTTCTTCGTCATCATCAGAGTACAATATTAAAAGAGGATAATTTGTCTGCGTCAGTTTTCTATTTGAAATGAATTACTGTGTAGAAAGTGAACCACTTCAGTTTAGATCTAATTATTTAAATGAACAATAGGATAATAAAATCAGTATGTATCTAGTTTATTCATTTTATAACTGAAATAACATGTATCATAGACCAATGAGTGATAAATATTCGAGGTTTATCGCATATCAGTTAGGATATGACCTTGTTTTCAGTAGCTCCATTGACATATACCTCACGAACATACACTATATTAACTCTATCATTAACTACACAAATTTATTCAAGCACTTCAATTTCTTGATAGTTGGCTTTCAGTTTGTTTTACAAGTATATAACTAGGTATTTTTTTCTCTGGTGAATAACAATCTATTCTTTATTTTTTCATTTGGCTCTATCATTCATCTTTTTATTATTTTACTTGAACAAATGTAATCGTGTTAACCATTTTCCTCCGTGCACACATGTGACATACTGTAGTTAATTTAGATCATTGTTACATGAAAGATTATATACATATATATGAATAGTAATTGCAAGTTAGTTCACTAGTCAGGTTTAGATTTTTTACTGTCTAAATATGTAGGCTTGTTTGTGTGCATATATTTAAATCCATTCGTGTTACTTATCTATTTGTATGCTTTCTTTGAGTGTAGAACAAAAAAAAAGAGAATTATTCTTAGTTTTTTTTTCTGTTCGTTTTTTAACTATAAACTATTAGCATGAATGAAGTTTACTGACTATGGTCGATAAACAAGAGAATCGAAAACAAAATCAACAAATAGTAACCTATGTTTTTAAGTCTATATGATAAATAATAAATTATTGAAATGAACGAAACGCGCGTCCTGGATTCCACTGCTAGCCACTATCCATCTTTGCTTATAAAGCCAATTTTTGTTTCAATGTACTTATTTTATTACCATGATTACATTTTTGTTGAAAACATCAATTAGTCAGTTGGAGAACCTAAATGTTTTCATTTGATTGTCTGAATAATTTTCAATTTATGGTTATAATAATCACAAATCGGATTATGGTTACTGTGAGTAGTTGTAGTTTGTTCTATGGTATGTTTGAGTATAATTCGTAAACATGTAATTCTCTGTAAGCGATTACTTATTCCATGTAAATAGTAATGTAACACAACTGTAATAACAGCTGATTTTGTACGTTTATCAGATAGGCATACATTATCTAGTGTAATAACTTTTGTCTACCGAATGAAGCAAATAATAGTGTGCAGTGTAGTATTCGAACTAACTAGTTACAGTAATGAGGACACGTTTTGAGAAACTCATTGGTTATTGCTAAAATAATGGGCAACCCTAATCGAAAACAATCAAGAAACTCGGTAGTTAATTTCAATTAGGTTTTCGAGCGAATACAACTGTATATCTAGTAAGATTTAAATTATTAAACAACAGTTGAAACTTAATCATTCAACATTTTGAAAATAGATTCATTACCGAATGAATGATTAATTTAAAAATTAGGAAGTATTTCAGAACAGAATTATTGAAATATTAAATCAAAACAACTTATTATTTGTTCTTTATTTGACTATAATTATATTGTACAAACTAACCATTTTCTACGTGAATCCATATGATCTCTAATTTTCTTATTAGGAAGAAGATACAGAAAATATACAACAATTTATTGATGAAATAGATGGGTAAGTTTTTTTGCGAGTAATATATATCATGTCGCTTAAATATTATTTTTTCAACTTTAAAATTACTAAAATTTAATAAAATAATTAAAGGATGTTAATTAGTGTTGACCTACTAAGCAACTGTACAGAAAATATCCTTGAAATTTATGAAATTCTAATGAAATTCAATGATGTTTATTCAAGTATCTACATTAGCAATCACATAATAATTCATGAAACTTATATTTGTTTATAACTTTATAACTTGATCTGATGTGAATTTGTGCAACGCTTTATTTTGATTATAGCTGACTTGAAAATAAAGGTTTGGAAGTTTATATAAGTTCTATAACAATGATATATGATATTTTTTTGGTTACTTATAGCGATACAAAATTTTTATTGATAAATTAATAAGTATGATAGATAATCATATAGATAATATTATTATGCATAAAAAAAGAACGGTAGTCAATTCCAATTACTATTTATTCAATAGTTTACTAATAATTAAATTAAATTAACAATTTTATTCCCAATGGATTTCTTTTATTCATTTAGACTAAACAGAACCAACAAGATTGTTTTCTAGAATGGCATTTTTGTAACATTTTCCAGTACAATTGGAAAGTTAAATATACAGTTACTATGAACTCTACTCGGCTTGTACAGTGATAACTGATGATTTTTTTCTTTAATGATATACCAAAATACAACTGAATATCTTACCCAACAATATAAATACTACCCGAAATTGATTGAAATTGGGCTGAATCTAATTAAATGTTACCATAGCTCTTTGACTAAATGGGAAAATTTCTCTTTCTTTTTTTATATATAACAAACACGCAGTAAAAATAGTCTTGTTTTTATAAAACACTTCAATCCAATTATTGGACACAGATTGTGACATTCTATTTCGGATTTTACAATGTATGATTTTTTTATTCGCCTGTGATTATTTTAAGTAATAAATTCTTAAATGATGTAAAAGAAAACTTGAAAGAAATTATAAATGACTCTTTGATATAATGTATTACAATTAGGCCATCCTTAGAGCGTTGAGACATCATTATAATACTTTTTTAATTTGTTCAACTACATTGATATGTTTGATGAAATAAAGTCAAATGAAGCATTAGAAAGTTTCGGTAAAGCGTTTTGTATTACATCATGATCTATGTATGCTGAATAAGATTAGCATAAGTCGACTTCAGTTTAACTGCACAGTTTGATATTCAAGGCTAATTTCCAACTCTATCCATCAATTTGTTTGTTGCAAAGATTTGTTAAGGTTGTCATCCGAAACATCAAAATCACATTAAAGATTTTTGTTAATTCAATAAAACAACCATGGCATAACTACACTTTATTTATACATATACTCAATTAGTTCAGAAAAATATAATTTCCCAATAATAAATTAGAAGTTTCAAGGCGAGGATACTAGTTAAATTTTCAAATATGATTAATAGTTTTAGCCTGAGATTAACATAGGTATTTGGTTTTTATCTGCCTACTTCAACTGTACGCTTTATTCATTAATAGTATCACGGATGTGAAGAACAATGTCAGTTTTTTCTTCCTACGACAATTACTGAAATTCTTCATCATGACTGTATATGGCAAACACTACAAAATTGTATTTAGGAAACACCGTATTGTACATTGAAAAAAACCAACAATCATATGTTTAAATATAATATACACATACAACAACCAATCAAAGAAGAAATAAACCCTGTTTATTGATTGGTCTACACCAGTCAGTCTTCACGTACCTGACATTTGAGAAGGCGAACAAAACTGCTTTATTTATTGATTAATTGAAATTAAATTTTTATATGAATGAAAATTTTACCTCACTCAAGATGTAATAAAAGCACTGAATTGTTTTGACAACTATTACCATACTATGAGATACATATTACTGTATTTATATGGAAAAAGGGAATATTTTTTGAAAGACAAAATGATCATTGTATACGCGAACTTCATGTACATGTCATCAGAGATCCAACACAAGAATTGCCATACCTGTTCAACTAAGAGTGATGTTAACAACTATAGTTTGCTATAAGTATAAAATTTTGTGACAGTGACAGCTATGCTGATAAATCCCCGTTTTCAGAAGGGGTTTTAGGGAGATTTTAGAAATTTCAATAGTTGAAATAATGAGTCAATCCCCGTTTATTTACCAACTTGTTTATCTAGATGATAGTGTTTATAAACACAGAAGTCTACGAATCATAATTCAAAAACAAGTAAACTGTCTGATGTAGTGTAATAAAAGATAAGTTAGTAAATGCTATTTACTCATAATCCATAATCAAACAAAACTAAACGCGGTATTTTAAATACGACACTTGAAAAGCCACTGATTTCCGAAGTATTGATTTTGTTTAAAAATAACTAAATTGATGTAGTAAAAGGTTTAAAACATAGTGTATTTTAACTGTAAGCAAGTCTAATGAGATTTGTGGATAAGTAACTGACAAAGTATCATCAGTCGATTCATTTCAGACTCCTTTTATTTTATTGTATATCATTTCATCTCTAAAGCAGCTTAGTCTATTTCACTTAATTTTATACATATACAGAAGTCACGTAGAGGTCAAACAATAGATTGCGTCTATGCTAGAATAACGAAGATTAAATGATGATCTATACGGTCATAAAAGTCAAAGAAAACAGACAAATGAAATAAAATTACATGTACAGGGGGAATTATCTTGTGTTATTTATGTCACCGTATCCTCTCATTCTTTACACAAAAACTTGTGTTATTTACAAGTAGTATGTTCTTTATTACAGCAAACGGAAATCAATAACATTGATACTCGAAAAAGTGGTAAACTAATCATTGTAGAGCATAACGATCAACAGAAAAACAATAATAAACCGGTAGTTTTATGACTAATTATTGGATCACTACCGAAAACACTTTTCCAACAAGTCAAAGAAATTAACTTTACGATACCATCACTAGAAATAGCACTTTGTGATTCAGAAAAATTGTCTTTATCATTTCTAATTCTACTAAAATGACAGACTTTAACACAAGTAAACTGACGTGTTTGTTTTTTAATAGGATATTTTGATTAAATGAAATAAATCACTTCAGAGCATGTATACAATGTTATAGAATCCTTATTTCAAAGTTTTGTAGTATATAATAATATTACTGACGAAATATTTTTTTCTTAGTATTTTGTCTTAGGAAATAATAAATCGGGTTGATCGAAATTCTGATATTTATCAGGTTTCATTATTCATGGCTCCTTGTGAGTATTGGATAATTAATGGATAAGTCAGACTAGCATAACTGCTCTAATAACAATCATATATATTCTAATATTTTTATCAAAATTACTAAAACTGTGTGATTTTCGGCCAGTGTTTTTTGGTAGTATATACATGTACATAAACAAACAACATGGTTACATTATAAACTGAACAGTGAATGAACTAAATTTGAAAATTCTATACAAATTATTCGGTTAATGATGGTAGATAGACATGATGAACCGTTATCACAATTAAGATGTGAACTATAGTAGGTCTCTTTGACAGATAATATTAGTAGATTTCTCTTATTGAAGTCATTTTAACTATAGGATCATATGTGTTAAATTTTTTACTGAAACTAACGATAGTATGAGAGTTCTTATTTTGATTTTAGTTCCCAAACTGTTATTAGATAAAATCTGATATACGGAACACCGATATTTGACGTAATCATGTTTGATAGTCAATTATTTTCAAATTTTCTCTTTAAATTTCAGAAAAGTTGTACATCGATGTGATTCATTAACACAAAAAGAATTGCATTCATTAATGCTTAGCTCTCAAGCACTGATCAATTGTTCAGTCAGTGAAGGCCAGTCTTTGGCTGTAATGGAGGTAAGTATGCGTACACAGTTGCATAACTATTCAAGCTACTATTATCATCTACTTATCAAGCGATTTTCTCATTTAAAAGTAATGTCAAGGTTTGTAAATGAAAAACGTTTTTAAACCTGTTTACTAAAAGCGAAAAGATAAACAAACTTACAAATGATGTGAAATAAATAAATAAAAAGGCATCTAGAATGTACAGCTCCCAGATATCCTGTATCTTTGTAAGCCCTGTCACATTTTCTGTGTAAAGATAAGTTTGTTTAATCGAATATTATTGAAATAAGAACTATGAAATAATGACAGGCTTAGTGCTTAAATATAGAGAATTAATGCATCTCTACCATTAAGACTCGTTTTGAATATTTTCACTTGAACTGCTTAGTGTTAAATTACAGTTATCTCAAAAAATGCCAATCAGGATATCGATATGCACTGATTGGGCTAAAACTAGTAGACAAAGCCTCATAGACTGTTTCCTGATATTGATCAGACCACGTAGTCTTTTTACACTCTACTAATATACTAACTGTCACAACACTTAGGGATAGTCAGTGGGCGGTCAATCACCTTAATTGACGAAAGTTTACAAACTCACTGATTGATTAATTTTATCAAATATCCACAGCTGACCGATCATTAAGTCGAATTGATAAGATAACATTAACAAATCATGAATGAGAAATGCATTCGAAACAGTCACATAATGTGAGTGAACTTATATTCGTCAAGCATGACAAATCTTTTAACATTAATATCACTGATAAAATATGTCGATAAGATCGTTGTTCAATCTACCATGAATGATTAAACATTTGCGACAATAAAGATCAGTCTAAAGATTAAATTGTAATGAAAATCTGTGAAAAGAATAAAGAACTATATCCTCTGAATAGGATTAGTCGAACGAGAATAGTAGGCAAACCACAGAAAAATTCTAGACAGCTTATCTAGAACTATGAGTATCAGAAAACTTTCAAAAAATTTACACGATTCATGTTTCGGGTCTTGTAACAAGTTTATTTATTTTTATACATTAAAGTAACTAGTTCAAGAAAATTATAGAAATCGTCTTTTCTCATATACACAGGCTATGTCTCTTGGAGTTCCGGTTGTGGTGAGAGAAAATCCAGGTAACTGTGATCTTATCAAACATAGAAAAAATGGGTTGGTATTCAGAACATCTAAGGTAGGTATTAAGTGCAATTGATATCTACGATAATCACTTATTTTCAAAGTGTTCATTCTATGTGAAAAATTTATAACCTTCATTAAATTATAAATCGTTGTGAGGCCATAATAGTATGATTGATTGTGAGAAAGACTGAATATTAAGGAAGACTGTCGGAAAGGAAAGGATGAATTCCAAATACCAAATAATGCTAAAGCTGAAGACATACAGATGCAACAAGACGACTTGAAATTCAAAAATGAACTAGTTCTATCACACACACACACACACCAACAAATGCAGTTGAAGACAACCAGTGTAGCAGCTGCTACTGTATCAGCAGGACTCAACATACACAAGCGAAAAACCAAGATCCTCAAATACAACACACAGAACCCCAACCAAACCAATCACATTTGATGGCGAAACTCCAGAAGAGGTGGAAACTTTCACCCACCTGGACAGCATCGTCATGAACAAGGAGGATCCGATGCACACGTTAAGGTAAGGATTGGTAAAGCAACAACAGCATCCCTACAGTCGAAGAACATACGGAACTCAAAATAACTGTCAACCAATATCAAAGTCACAATCTTCAATACGAACGTCGAAACAGTCGCACTGTACGGAGCTGAAACTTGGGGAACTACTACAACTATCATCAAAAATGTACAAGTACTTATAAATACTTGTCTACTCAAGATGCTCAATGTTCGTTGGCCGGATACCATGATCAACAGTCTATTGTGGAAGAGAATAAACCAGCTTCCAGCTGGAAAGGAAATTAGGAACTAGTAGATACTTTATAGTGACTCGCTGATAACTGATCTCACATAGTCTTTCGAAACACTACAAGTACGACTATTTGTAGTATATTGTGTGATATCCAATACTTGTGAATGATCTTTTTTTCCAAGCTGAACCATACAATTAGTTTCTTTATCACAGATTGATATTTCTAGACCAATAGCTTGATATTCTATTAAAAACGAAAAGAAATCACATGAATAACTAGGATTGTCATCCAAGTTACGGAAATATTCAGTAAACAATCAATGGCGCATGTGACACGAAATGCACTCCATTTGAACCAAGACTTTGGAACATACAGAGATTTCAGTAAATTTAGAGAGTACTCGTCAGTTTTCAATAGCTGTTTAGTTAGAGTTACTTCATTTCATTAATTAATGGTCAAAAATATCGTGTACTACTAATAGTAAACAAAATCACTGATTTGAATTCATAATTTACCTAGTAAATTTTACACTTGAATATGGATTATTGCTAATGTGAACAACTAAAAAATAGTAATTTGCTTCCTACACAAAATTTACAACTTACTGCTTCTCATGGAAACCATATTTTAAAATCCTGCCACAAGTAAATTAGTTATAAGTTTTATCTTCTAACTCGAAATTTGTAAATCGGTAAGCGTATCTGCTTTTTTAAATCCGCTTAAACTTCCAACAACCATTTGAATTGCTTCCAGCTACTCCACCATATCGCTTATCCATGACGGGAAAAAATGGTTGGGTGTGTTCCACTCCAAAAATTAATCCAATGTAAACGTGTGGTCACAAATTTTAACAGTAGGATGAAGCTAGTCAACTTGTACAGAAATACCTAACTCAATATAGATGAGATTGTTTTGATTAATTATTAGCCTCGTATATGGCAAGATGTTTAAGAAGTACACATGATTATGTCCGTTTTACAAAGCTTCACTTTAGAGATACTTACTGGATTTTGTTTATAATAAATTCAAGAGAATTCGTATTCATTTATACAAAATAAAGGGTCTATTTTATGTATTCAGGAGCTGGGAGAATGTCTAACTTATCTGGAAGAAAATCCTGAAATAAAAAAACAACTTATTCTCGCAGGGGAGGAGTTTATGGGAGGCAAGGAATTCCAAAGAGGATATCAAGCGAAATTATATTCACACGTAATCCAACATATATATTCTACTTTATAATCAACATATACAGCAGTTGAGTGCATAACAAACAAAATCAGTGACATTTTTCTTCAAATTTCATTATAACTTATAACCAAAAGTAAATAATTTCGATTACAAAGTAACAGTAAAGCTTTTCACTGAAGTATTGTTCACTATGATATAAAATAATAAAACCAAATTTCCTTAATTTTAAACGTTAGAATGATGGTGATTCAAGTATGGTAAGATTCCAATAAGATAAATATCACACTCTTCACCAGATCTATAGGGATATATAAATACTTCACATAAAAATAAGAACACAATAGTCCTAGCATGGCTAACATCTATGTCGTACCTTCGTAGTTGTGCTACTAAACAAGTTTTATGAAACAAGACAGAATCAAATTTGTTCAGTGCACATTAACACCTATGATATTCTTTTTAAACTAGACATAAAAAGGGTTGTTCATGAAGAACAGTATAGGAGGACTAAGACAAATAATTTTTCTGGCTTTCCTAAGATATAATAGAGAGCAACTTTATTAGTTGGGCATTCTAGGAGCGTCTCAATTACTAACATGAACAAATCCAGTACTAGTGAATTAAACTGAATGTTCAATTCTGACTAGCGAAATAAGAACTACATCTAAATTTAAAAGAATGATAAGTGAGATCTTTCGGTAGTTAGTTTTCCAGTGTATTATAAAATAATTACGAAATGTATGCATTATTCCCGATAAGTGATTTTAAAGACGTTTTTAATTGTATCTATTTAAAAATTGCCGACAAAAACTTGATACGCAAAACAAAACTGACTAAATAGTACTTACAATTCCCATCACAAACTTAGTTCGGCAAGAATTCAAATCACATACATGTATATCATCGGCATTTTATTAGATCAAGCAGTTCCTATATATGTGAAGAAATATATCAGCATGAACAAATGAGAGGAAATAAGAACAAGAAGTCGCTGCCTTGACATGTGAAATCAAAAAAAAAAAAAAAACAATGACGAACCAAATTACGGGCGAAGGCAGGATATACGCTCAAACACATGTACAACATCCATTACTTGTACAATAAACAAATAATACTTCATTTATACAACATACACAAGATAAATGTTCATTTAAACGAACGCAAATCAGAGTAAAATGATTAAAACATTCATGTGAAAAAGTCAAAGATTTACAAGATTTCAAATTGAAACAGTCGTTTAGGTATACTGAAACTGCCTAGAGTAATTTTACATGTAACTTGAAAGTGATGACAAAACGACCGGGATCGATAGTTTTGGAATATTAATATCAATATGAAATGCATAGGGTTAAAGAAATTAAATATAGTAATGAATATGAGATGACTGATTTATTAAAATGTTGAACAGCAGTCCACACCAATACAGGATTGGCATTTATATGAATATATTTCAATATATAATTATTAGGAAATAATTCGTTGTACAGCTAAAAAGTGTTAACTGGACTATTGTCCAATAAAAACTGATTACCGGATATTATTGTACATTTGAAAACCGGCAATCTACTGGAGCACCAAGATAATGAGGTATGTTGATAAAAGAACAGAAGATACACAAGCAAGATACATACACGAATCAATAACAATTTAGGTGAATTCTCTGTGGAAGGCTTGAAAACCAGCTGATAACATAGTATGTTCGTAGGTTATTTACAAAATTTAAAATGTTACTTAAGATGAAAAATATGACATTGGTTTAGATAAACTTAATGTATCAAAATAAGAATCTGTACAAAAATGCTTAGATGAACTGGGTCTGGGGATAGAGAACTCTGAGATTATTGAACGAGAATAATATAGTACGAGAACCCAGGTCACAAAAAGAAATCATCATAAACTGAAAATGATTGGATTTAATGTCAGAAAAAATTGTAAGTAATCCGTGTATAATGTATACATTGGAGTATCAAATATTCGGATAATCTGCTTCATATTAAGATCAACATACAGCCCCGTTATTGTTTGTTGATGAGCGATCGTTGTTTGAGTTTATTTTTTGTGAAGCACAACCCACTTTAGTTAGATCTAATTGAGCTTGCAAACTATCTCTGATGCGCAGTAGGGTTTGTTCGACATTGTCGAAATGACCAGTAACGACATCAGGATAAAAGAAAAAGCCTTCATTATTTTTAGAATACTTTGAGGGATGTTTAGAGATTGTGCAAAACTTCTTTGTATTTAAGTAAGGCTGACTGGAAACCCGGTGATGCCATGGAGAAGTGTTACGTTTTTCTCGTTCATAAGATCGTGTTTCTTGCCACACACGTATCTCGTTATCGCGCTGTATGAAGTATTCCAATGATCCAGACAGATGTGTTGGATTATCTTCTGGATTCTTCTCAATATCATACGACGGAGCAACCGGACTGTTTGAAGACGCTGGATGTCCGGAGAATGAAGGGATAGGAGGAGGTGGTGGGGGTGGTGGAGTCCCCGCGGAAATCACCAAACCATACAGATGCTGGGAATCATCTAAGTTAAATGTCTTCTTATAATAATGAGACAGTCTATCAAAATGTATTTTTTTAGAAGAAACTGGTATATTAACTGAAGGCTTGTGATCTACAACTTCGGAACCAATACGATTCTACAAATACAAAAACATACCACAAATTTTCAAAGCTTCAATGAGAATTAACTAAGGTTCAATACGCTGAAAATCCAAAATTAATGTTAAAACAACTAAAGGAACAGATAATCACTACCTCATTAAAGTAATTAATGAGTTTTATATGTGAAAAGTCTCTATATCAGTTAAATATGGTATAATATGCAAAACAATGAAATGGTTGTAAAGCCAGTTAGTTTTTAAAATTATTTCGTAGTAAAGTGTACTAACTAACAAGACTTTATAGTCACTTAATTATCTAAGAAAGATTAGTTCAGCGAAGAGTTCTCTTTTCGGCGACTGAATTGCTCCATTAAATATAACTTAATGCTAAATAATTAGTCGTTTTCATAAAACGAGATTTTATTATTTTATTTTAACACATAAGTAGGTACAGGGAAGCACCAAGTACATATGCGCCACACGAATCTCAATTGATTTGTGTGAGGGCTGTGATACTGCCCGGGTGCCCAAACCGAAGCAGGTGGTTTTCTTAGGGGGCCACACCCCGAGCCTTCGACCTGAACGTCTGATCCACAAGGCAGTGGAGCATCGAGAGGAGATGCAGTCCCGTGGTAGCCGGTGACCAACGATTGGTTCATACGCCATTTGTTCCCGCAGGATACTGGAGCCCATGTGCACCATTGGTTTGGTGTCCGGTTAAAGCGCCGGACATTCGCTTTTCGTCCTCTCATTTTTGTAAACAACACCCCCGCCACGAGAAGGCAGTGAGTAGGACTTCCCTGGCAGAGGGAAGTCCTACTCAATAAGAATATGAAGTTTGTCTAATTGACCTGTTTCTAAAACGTATATACCTTAACAGGTTCCGCAAGCTTCTTCAATTCATCAACTTCACCAAACTTTATTACTTAACCTCTATGAATGACTTAAATGAAACCATGGTAATGAGATGTCAGTCAGTAACAACGTGGAACTTCGTATGTACGTACATCAGTTCGAGTTGCCATACCAAAATACCACAGAGATGCAGTTGTCGATCCAAATCCCATTGTGGTAGATGTGGTAAGAGTATAAGTAGTAATCGGAAACATTAGGGTTTGAAGATGTTATTCAAGGAGTACTATAAAACCTATTTTTACTTGAAAACAGGAACAACTCACCTGATCGCACTCCTTAGAATGATTGATGTCATGTAAAGGATTTTCACGATTAATCGGTTTCGAAGAAGCAAACATGGTAGCTTGAAAGCACGAATCAGAAAATTTGCTGGAATTTACATTCGGAGGTGAACTGTTCCTGAAAGGTAGCTTTTCTGAAGCTATACGAGAGTCTGAGAACGTAGATGTTGGTGAGCTGTGAGAAGAAAGCACTTTACCAGGAAATCTTATGAACGGTTCAGGAGAACTACTAAGAGCACCTCTACTAACAGGATTTATAGAATCGACTCCGATATCATCATCATCATCTGGTGGCTCGCTTGGTGTTCGAGGTCCACGTTCACTTACTTTTGCATCAATAAAATCACGTTCGCTATCAAATTCACATCTTTTTGGTGTATTTGTGTACGGTGATAGGGGTTGATTATAATCATGAAGAACTTCAGGTTTTATGTTCAATGTTGTAACCTTTCGCAGTAATCCATCAGAACTTTTTACGTCAGAAGATGACTTTGATTCATTGTGAAGATTTGGGAGCGTTATTAGAAGTCGGTCAGGACTAATCAGAGTTGGTGGGATTATAATTTCTAAATTATCAATATTACCGTTTGGTTGATCTAGCGGCTCTTTCATCTGTTTATGATTTCGTTCCGTAGCGGGTGTGAGGGCTGGCAGACCACGACGTCGACGATATTCAGAGAGGGAAACACGAACTTTACGTATCTCTTGCAATCGCAACTCTTCAGCTTGTTGCTTCACTGTAGCTTTCTTCGGAGGAAGCTACCAAAGTAAGAGATGCATTAAAAATCTAATCAACTGAATATAAATGGCATAGTGAATTTATTTCGAAGTTTTAGAATTCTTCAGATTTTGCTTTGATGTTTACCAGTCACAATGAAAAAAAACATTATTCTATGACTGAGATTTGATAAAAAATACTCACAACAAATTTAGAAAGCATGTTACTTCTACTGTTTTTTAAATCATGGAGAACTGTGTTAAATGTGTTGACGCAACATAGCACAGCTACTAACTATATAAAATATATCGACTGTTTTTTGACTAAGATATAGATGAATTTTCAGCACTGGGACAATTAAGTACATTTTCATCATAAGTTGTTAAAACGTACGCTGTATCACATAAATTTGTAATTTATGTTAAGTAAAAAAAAATTTACACATGTTAGGTTTCACATTCTTCAAATCCAGAAACAAATAAATACATGCGCAGATCGATTACTCGTAGACCTTCAAACAAAAATCGCTATAACGTAGTCAAAATGGAGTTAATCAAGTATACATTATTTTAGCAATGGTTATGTGCATTGGACGAACTGTCAGCACCTGAAAAAGACACAGACTTAAGATACAGGATATTAATATAAGTGTATACCCTGATACGGTCGAGGGTGGGAAGAGTCAGCTCTGCCCCTACAAGCTGCCTTTACGTGACATTGGTATCTCGTTAAAAAAGACAAAGTGGAAGGGAACGTATGGTACTTAAACAAGAATGGTCAGAAGACAGTCCATCTGCAAGAGTTAATAAGCATTAAATAAAATCCCGTAGTGCATGTTAACTCTAGAAATGTGTGCAAATAAAATTTTAAAAAATAAATGGTGTAACAATTTTCCTTATTCTACGCAACGAGCTTCAAAATAGAAACTTACAGGAGCCAGATGAGTTGACAACCCATCGCAAAATTCAGGATCTTCTTGTGACTCTGAAACAACTTTAGATTCTGGATTGTAAACCACCTGTTCATCATCTGGATTGTTCACTAAACGATCAGACAAAATTGTGACACTTTCTTTCTTGAGATTATCATCGCTTTCGAAATACGTACAAATAGGTAAGTCTTCAGAGATCCCAGAAAGTCGGGAGATAATCCTCTTTTTCGGATTAACTGGCGTAGTACATGAATTTTGTATGACTAAAGAAGAATCTGATTTAGTGGACAGTGAATGATTAATTGAGTGGGAACAGTTTGAAAAATTATTGTTAGATAATTCTACATCTTCCTCCATTAGAGCCTAAAACAGTATAATCAAAACCGTAGAAAATAAATCGAAAATGTGATTCGATAAGGCATTTTCCGAAACAAAACACTTATTCTCTTATTAGTTCATGTTTTTTCCACTAATGAAGCTGTTGCTCAGTGCTTCTGGTATTCAGTTTCCATCAATTAGATTATGTGTTTAAGGTCAGCTCCATCTGCAGAGATTTAAACGGATAATAGATTATAAGATATTAAACCCCAAGTATACTTTGCAGCCAAATGAGCTTTTCGTATACATGTCGAGTCTCTTCAGTCACTAACACACTGACTAATATAACACATTATCTCTTAAGGTGTTTAGTGCCTTTACCATACAAATATGTAGTCTGTGTACTACATGTCAATGAAAGACTTCACGCGAATGGTTAATTCATTACGACAGAACAAAACGAAGTTTGAATTAACAAAATATGATTTGGAACATACCAGAGACAATAAGTATCCTCAGAATTTCGGTACACATTATTTATGCAGAAGAGGATGCTAATGATTTGACCACAGGATAATGATGAACTAAGATATTACCGCAAGTGTGGATGATCGGCACTCCTAGAATGTTTAAATGAGAACCCTAAGGAACAACTGCCTGATGTCAGTGGCACACAGTCAGTCAGTCAGTAACAACGTGGAACTTCGTACGTACGTACATCAGTTCGAGTTGCCATACCACATTAGCACAGAGATTCAGTTATCGATTCAAATCCCATAGTGGTAGAGGTACTGAAAGTATAAGTACAGATAGGGGACATTAAGGTTTGATGATGTTATTAAAGGAGTATAGTCCAGTGGAACAAATTGGGAAAGAAAATAAAGGACATGAAGAATTCAGAAGATTAGAGTTTGAGAGAACACAGAGAGTGGATGCACCTGCGCCATTGCAAACGATTTTGAGCCATGTCATTCAAGGTCTCTAACCATCGGTTGCTATCATCTCGCGGTTCCCAACCAGGTAGTCTACACCTACCAACATGACTCAGTCCACTTGTCAGTGACTTCATGGATTTCTGCCATGTTTTGGTCTGGCCGCCCCTAGCTTTCTTCCAACCTACTCCTACACCATAAAACATAGCACGTCGGGGCAGTCGGTGGTCGGGCATGCGCAACACATGTCCCAGCCATCTCAAATGATTGAGTTTCACTACTTCCTCAATTGATTTTCCATCCTTACCTAGTACCCGTTTCCTAACAACTGAGTTACTTACTCGGTGGTCCCAGGATATACGAGCAATGCTTCGAAGACATCTATGGTCAAATACTAGTAACCTACGAATATCCTCTACTCTTACCGGCCATGTTTCACTGCCATAAAGTAGGACGGAACGAACTGCTGCGCAGTAAACACGTCCTTTGGTTGATAGACGGATATCTCGCCTACGCCATAAATGACGCAAGTTGGCAAAAGCTAGTCGAGCCTTTTGTATCCGTGCTGAGATTTCGTCACACACCAAACCACAAGGGCTGATGAGACTTCCGAGATAAGTGAAGCGGTCGACACGCTCAACTACTTCACTCCCTATCACTAGTCCGGGTGTCGACGCAACCCAATCCTGAAGTAACATTTTGCATTTCGAGGGAGAGAATCGCATGCCGAATAGGCTTGCATTGTTGCTTAGAGTGGTCAACAGACTCTGCATTCTGTCAGCGTCTTCACCAAATAGAACTATGTCATCGGCATATTCTAGGTCAACAAGTGGATCTCCCGGTAGAAGTTCAACTCCTGGAAATTTAGATGAGGAAAGTGTCATCTCTAAAAGGACGTCAACGACAAAGTTAAACAAGAATGGAGAGAGTGGACAGCCCTGACGAACACCACTTGAGGTAATCAATTCTGATGACAGTTCACCATAAGCTCTCACTCGACCAGTTGTGTTCGAGTAGAGAGCCTTTATAAGGTTGACGTACTTCTTTGGTACTCCCTTCAGTGACAAACATTGCCATAGAACCTTACGATCAACAGAGTCAAATGCCGCCTTAAGGTCGAGAAATACTACCATTGTGGGACGTCTGAATGTGTGTCTATGTTCTAGGACCTGACGTAATGTGAATATTTGATCAATGCAACCACGTCCAGGTCGAAAACCAGCCTGGTTTTCTCTAGTCTGCTCTTCACGAGCTTTGGTTAGACGTCGAAGTATTATTGAAGCTAATATTTTAGACACTATATTAGTCAAACTAATTCCTCTGTGATTGTCACAGGAGGACTTTTGTCCTTTCTTATAGACTGGTATAATCAGTGATTGAGACCAGTCAGATGGGATTACGTCCAGTTCCCAGATTCTACCTAAGACCTCAGTCAATCTCGCTGCTAATACTGGACCGCCATCCTTAAAAATCTCAGGGGTAAACCTGTCAGGGCCTGCTGCTCTCCCACGCTTCAGATTTCCTATAGCTTTTTCAACTTCGTAAAGAGTCGGAGGACTTACATCAACTTGCCATTCAGGTCGACTGGGGATCGTGGGAAACCGAAGTGTGGCTGAAGGCCAGTTGAACTGATCCCTAAAGTATTCTGCCCATCGATCCAATCTCCTGGATTGAGAATGAATAATATGTCCATCTTTCTCTGCGATTGTTTCGCTAACAGTTGGGTTCCTAATACCGGTTTCCTTAACAAGTCTGAACAGTTGCCTGCTGTTACCTATTGCCGCTGCCTTTTCCATCTCTCTTGCTTTCGCTACCCACCACTGTTCACGATCTTTGCGCAGGCTTCTAGTCAGCTTACGCTTAAGCTGACTCCGCTCTTCGTTATGTTCAGAGCCAGATGGAATGAGTTTTCGAGCATCTATCAGTGCGGTAGATGCTGCTGAGATCCAGTGTTTCTCCCTAACCTTATGGTTTACCGTACTTGCAGACATCACTGCTGTTTCTACAGCTTTTCGGATGTCATTCCATGCTGCCTCAGGGTGGGTATCACTTACATGGCTGCCTAACTGTTTTTCTAGATGTTCCTGAAATATACTCTTAGCTTGACTATCATTAAGTAGGACCCTAAGGGGTTTCCTTGCAGCATGTTTCCTACGTCCAGTAAGACGTAGACAAATACGCGCTCGCACTAGAGCATGATCTGAGTCTAAGCATGTGCTCCAGAATGAGCGACAGTCTTCTATCGAGCCCCTCCATCGGTGGCTGATAGCGATGTGATCTATTTGGGTCCAGCGTTGAGACGAATTAGGGGGTCGCCATGTCAAAAGATGTTTTTCCTTATGCTTAAAGTTAGTGTTTGCAAGAAACAGGCGGTTATCTGAGCATAGCTGCAACAGACGGTCGCCGTTATCTGTTCTTTGAGTTGCGACACCATAAGATCCACCCAGGTGTCTTTCCTTTTCGCTTAGTTTACCTACTTGAGCATTAAAGTCACCAGCCACTATTACTACATCTGAACGCCTAGCTTTTCGGAGAAGGCCGGAAAGCTTTCTGTAAAACTCATCTTTTACATCATCTGAGCTGCAGTCAGTGGGAGAGTAGGCAGAGACGACGAAGAGGCAACGACGAGTGTCCCTATCTTTTCGAATCCTTACTGTTCCGTTTAGTCGGACAGCACACAAACGACTGTCTACTGGGATCCAGTCTAAGAGAGCTAGTTCTGCCCTAGGACTCAATGCTATACCTACGCCAGCGAGGCCACGGGATGCAGCATCAGGGCTTCCAGATACACGAAGCGTAAATCGAGTTGGTTCGTTACTTAGACATGGTGCAGTCAAATGAATGACACTACTAGGATCCTGTGTGCGCGTTTCGGAGACGCAGCACACATCGATGGAGCGAGATTCTAAAGTCTTAGCTAAGGAAGCCTGTTGTCCTATTTGGCACAGTGTTCGGACGTTGAAAGCTCCTACGTGTAGTTTAGAGCGTGGTTTCAGGAGACCAGGAATAACATTCCGCGTACTCGAATCGTTCGCACTAGCGGGGCGAGGTGATAAAGGGACGTGAGAAGGGTTAGTCGTGGAGATAAGAGAGTTATTAGGAGGTGTAGGAAGGATTTGAATGTGACCAACTTGGTCTCGTGTGCTGTTACGGGTATGAGGGCTGATATCACTTCCCGGTTGCCCACACCGTTGAAGGGTATTTCTTGGGGGACCTGAAAAGGAAATCGGATTAGTGTTGGTCTTAGCGACCTGAGTGCGTGACCGCAGAGCCCAAGGGACAACTGCTTGAGGCCGGTCGCGCACGGCCTTTTTGTGGGAGGTTTTTAATGTGTTAGCTCCGTTCTTCAAAGGGCCTTACCGCCGGAGACGGAAATCCGTGGGGTAAGGTGAGGTGTGACATTTTTAGGGTCAACCTTTTCTAACCCCTTCCTTCCTTGTGAGAAGGCAGCATCGCTGCAGATGCTGGTTGTCCGAGGGAAACACCTTACTGCTGTCACACCTCTGTACAGTCAGCAGTACGACTTCGCCCTCAGACCTTGAGTTGCTGCTTTTAGTCTTACCGTTCTCCAATCGACCTGCCTGGCATGGTAGAACCTGCAGGAACTTGAGTTCCAGCCAATATAGCTCGGTTGGGTCATCACGATAGGCAAGCCCGACCACCACGTCAAGGTAGCAGCTACGGTCGGGCAGTGGCACACAATTCCTAGCAAACATTTTGCCAGTCCTGTAGTGTGAAATTTATATTTATAGATGTTAGCGTCCACAGCAAAAATTCACAAAGCCACTGTGTGTTAATTTTAGCCTTCATATTTTCAAACCTCTTCTTTGATTTGAAAGAAACTAATTGAGTATTTCATCGATAATGTCAAAAGCCAAGCTGGCATTCAGCAGGGTTAGTAATACGAATGTTGAAATGATGCAATGACTTGGATAGAATATTACGATTTAAAAAATAGAGAAAGCTAACGTTGAAAAAATTAAAACCAAGATCAAGATCGTTCCAGCTTTTTTTAAAACAAACTGAAATTCAATGATGATCACAATACATTTATTCCCTCACCTAAAACTTAAAAGAAAGTTACAACTAAGGATAAAAAAGCTGACTAAATTACTAAGCGTGACTTTATTTTCAAGATATTCGAAATTTAGCAATGATACTAGTACACTGAAGATTCCCTTGAAAATTTAAATTAACTTACTCGAGATAACCACCGTTTCTTTGTAGGTCTAGGAGTTTGGTGCATAAATGGTTGTGTTGAACAGGATGTTGACATATCATCAACAGATGTATTAACATCTTGTCGAGTGTCAGCTACTGTTTTTCCAGATATTTCATCATGAATTGTCGAGAACAAGGAATGCATATCAAGTGAACGAGTCCTGCTAAATTTAGCCATTGGATCTTTTTCTCGAGTTCTATAAACTATAAAACCACAATCAGCTTCAGAATCGAGAGCTTGTTGATTATTATTGATCTGATTAGATGATTCATTACCACCCGTAAAAACTGTCGTATCACAACCAGAAGCTATATTGAATTGAGACAAATTGGGTGATAAATGCTGAAGACAACTACTTGGGTTACGATCATTTTTTGATGATTCACTTTTTACACCCAAGGCTTCGAAAAGTGTAACTCTCATATTTGATCCATCTTTAATATGATTACCCGATGACATATGACTTTTATCGGACATATTCTCCATGTCTGATGACGTCAGTTGTGATACCTCCTGGTGATCATTTAATTCAGCGATACGTCGAAGTTGCATTTGAAGCCAACGGTCTTCGCGTGAACCACCTTGATCAACGGATGACAGGCTATCCGATAACATAGCTGCTTGGGAACGCCGGCGTCTCTGTTTGTGACTAACAGAACAGCGTTTTTGGTACTTAAATTTGGACCCAGTGAATTGTTTTAACTGCTTTCTTTGAAAACGTGTATTGCTTTCTTCTGAAATATCTTGATTACAAGCCTTGGACGGAGATATACTTTTACTTTGTTTGATATTTTGTGATAAACCAGAACAATGATTTGATTCACAATCAAACAACTCAGGTTTTTCGAAAATGTTTGTAGGTTCTACATGATTAGAGTGGGTCTCATCGGTGATAACATTTTTAATGTCTTTATCACATTCTAATGCTTTTGAGTTAATATCAGAACTTCCTCCAGTCTCCATTGCACCATCTGTTGACTTAACATCGTTATTGTCTGATACTGAGTCAGGTTCCGGAGATTTTTCATGGGGAGAAAACTGGTTTGAGTCATTTCTAGTGCAATCAGTGTTTTGACTATTTTTTAAACTGACCGAAGACACGCGTTGCTTTAATCGTTTTTTTTCCATACGCTCTATGCGACGTAACACTTCAGCCATCCATACATCCTCCTTTGATTTCTAAATAATAAAATACAGGATTTTATACTTTCAGACGGTAACTTTAATAAATGAATATATATGCTGAGTCCGAAAACACCAACAGTTATACAAATAGTATAAGTAATAATATCTGATACAATCTGAAAACATAAGCATAATGATCGTGCAATAAATTCCTGTTTTGGTAATAACCATTCCATTTTACGGATACCAAGTAAAGTCAATTAACATACTTAATTTATCATTCAGAAAGTAATGTCAATTGTTTGCCTGTTGTAATCATCCTTATGAAAGTACATGAAATCGCATAAAATAATTCCTTTTCAAAATCGTCGACAACTTCACTTATCTTTGAAGTCTGATCAGCCCGAATGGGTTGGTGTCTGACGAAATCTCTACGCGAATTCAGAAAACTCGTTTGGCTTCTGCCAACGTCTGGTCTGAGCCATGTTGGTAGATGCAGACTACTTGTTTGGGGTCTGTGCGACTATCGTTACCAATGGTTGGAGACTCTTGGTGACATGGCTCAGAGTCGATCACAATGAAGTAGGTGTATACACTCTTTGATTTCCCTTAAACAGTGAAATAAAAATTACTTTATACATTTCTTTCTACGAACTAATTCTTTCTCCCTGTATCATATGCTTTTATGAAGTTTTCTTTTACTACTAATGAAGTAACTGATCCTATGAATTTGGTGTTCATTTTGTTGTGCTGATGAGGTATGGAAATCTCGACTGATGCATATATGTGCCTGGTCCTACGTTGTAGATGACGGACTGACATGAACAGATATTTTGAAGGTGGTAACGTGGATGCAAAGCAGTAAACTGAACTAAATAGCATTCTGTTTACCTTCGTTTAGAAAGCGAAGACTCTAAAGTGATGAGTACAAGTTTTATATGAAATATAATCCTATATTAAGTAAAATTATCATTAGAATGCAAATGGCAGCTATTTTACACGCCATCCCGTAGTAAACTTCTATGGTCAATAGATCAAGTGAGTCCATTATGGTACTCAATAGCCTCTGATATTTGCTCTCAAAATATGAATTATTACTTTTCATGCAGGAACTTGCGTAGAATGGTGTACAGACCAATAGGCGTCAGCGTGAAGTGACAAGTTTAGTGAGTAAGTATAAACTTTCGATTAGATTCCGGATTGTTGAGAACAACAGAAATTTAAAATAACCTTTGAGAATCTTGTATCTCTATAAGTAAAGTTAGAGACTACATTTGTCATGACCAAGCCATATTGTAGTATAGTAGAAATAGTTAAGTTAGCTACAATGATGATTTAATTTTCGATGACGAAATAAACAGAAAAATTTGAAACACAACGACTAACCTTGTCTTCTTTTTCTTCAAGTGAAGTACTTCTTTTACGCGATTTAGAAACATGATCATCGAAGGTGCTTATCTGTGAACGTTTTCCACGGTCAACAAGTGATGATGAATCAGCCTGAGGCAAAAGATAAAGTTTTAACCAATTGACATCCCATAATAAGTTAATTAATAAGGGAACTTAGAGACTAAGTGCTTGGTGAGACTTCAAGGACACCACTCCCTGGAGAATTCAACACTGGTTATTGGAAAATAAGTACATTAACTACTCTTTTTCCTCAGTTACGTTAAATTTATACAATAACTATGACATATAATCATCAACTTATATTTTGTACTACGAAAAATCAGTGATTGTGGACGTTAAACAAAGATGCAATGAATACAAAAGTGAAATATTGTCTAGGTTATAGTACCATATGACGAAAGATTGATGTGATGCCACTGAAATAACTGAAAACCTAATGAGTATGTCTGAATCTGGATCATATGTTGACTTCGATTTCAAACCTACGAGGGCAGATAAACAAGTTTTATGAAAACAATTCTACTATGAAATGACAGACACCCCCCCCCAAATATCCGAAATAAGATTAATTAGTTTCTGTCTTACTTGAAATGAAATGGTTAACATGTGTTACCAATGTTTAACTACCGCAGTCTGACGACTGTATGAGTGAATTTTAGTTACGCTGATAAATAATGTCTGCATTCCAACTTGATGTTTAGTATGCGCGCGGTCCGTCTGATGTACTATCTGCGTTTGTGAGACCTTTTAATAAGTGTCCCCACCTCGTGGATTATATCACAACTAATGACAGATTACGGCTAGTTTTATAAAATAATCCAGTTTACACAGAAATTAATTGCATTTCGTATTTACAATAACGAGAATAATGTTCAAAACCAAAAGGATATATGTGATGACTATCCTGATTTTCAGTCTAAACATTGTCTGCTTACGAAGACAGTATCCAGATTTTATGAACCTTGATTACATCATGTTAAAGTTCGGTGCACATAATAACAGCAACAAAACCGAGTGAATAGTAATAGTCAACTAAAAAAGTAATAATTTTCAAAAATGTTGTTTAGAAAAAGCACTTACAGATTTGCGCTTAGAAATATGACTTTCGTGTATTTCAGATTTTACACGATCCAAATCAGGTGATCTAGGAGAATTATTTGAGGTATAAGACTCTTTTGTTCCTTTAGAATTAAGACGGTCCTGATGGGAATTAGACTGTACATATTTTCGACATACTGATCTATCTGTTAACTTTTCTGGTTGTACTTCATATTCCGGTTCAGTGTCAGCATCTAAATCCTCACCCAATAATTCATTATTCGACTTACAGCCGATATCTGTGTTATCAATGGCTTCTACTTGATTTTCTCTGTTGGATGACTTTTGTGGAGAGTCACTGGCTTTAACAGGCACCGATCGTAATCTATCTAAACATTCTATTTCGCAAGAGAAACCACTTCTACTAGGAAAGTAAAGCGAATCTCTTTTCTTATCTACATTTACAATGCTATCACTAGGTGGTGACACTGGATGTTGAACACTGTGAGAACAGGAATTACGTTGTGAACGGCGTTTTCTGGCAGTTGTCAAGGATTTAGAATTGGACTTCCTAAGGTACACCATTCTGGAGGACAACCGCTCTGTTCCACGTTTGCCACGCACTCCAAGAGAACTAGAACTTCTTAATCGGCCCCGTCCACGACCTCTCCGATGAATAGCTTTACGAACTCCACATGAAATGCCTGATTTATTTAAGTAACCACGAGTAGTTCGGTTAGATCCTGCTTGATGTGATGCTGAAGTTCGCCTACAAAAGAAAGTTAGAAAAGACTGGACACTAGTTTTGAACAAAAATAAACATGGGCAAGAAACCACATAATAACAGTAATCATAAACTTGGAACCATGTGGTTGCGTAAAACACTACTTTGAAAACGTTTTAGAGAGATAAATACACAACAGCCATAAGTCGTTACAACGATGAATATATGTTATACATAACACTCATGAGGACTGAGTAATAAACAAAATAAATTAAATATAAAAAATCTGACATTTTAAAACTTTACATGGTTTTAAAGTAGTGTTATGATGTTAATCTAATTGTTTTGTCAAACATACTAATTTAAACTAGTTCTTGTTTTAATTTATGCAAATTATGTCGAGAGCTTGAAGAAACATTGATGTGACCATAAGAATGAAGACAATCCAATGTGTAAAGAAGTGATTGATAATTTTTTAAATTTTCGTGTAAGACATTTTTTGGCAACATTGGCTAAACTCTACATCTACTACACTAAATTTAGGTGCAATAACTTTGTATTCTACTCACTCGTAAAATGTTTGTGAAAGTAATACATTAGATCAGGTTATACTAAACAGGTGCCCTTTGACAATCCTGGAAATGAACTTGAGAAAGTTTCATTCGCTTTTAATGGATTAAAAAACAGGTAGGATGAATAAATAATTTGTAGTGAAATGCGAAATTAGTTTTCCGGAATTTATGATAGGATTGAAAGGCTATTTTCTGTAAATTTCAGACCGGAAGACTGGAACTTAAATTTTTGCTGTCGAAAAGTCATTAGTCAAGAACCACAATTTACACAGACGAACAAGGTATGTGCAAATGAATTTAGAGACTCAGATATAACCACTTTGTAGTTGTACACTTTATTAGACAAATGATTCTAAGTGGCTGCTGGACACATAAGAGGTGGGATAGGATTTGATACCGTAATACTGACTAAATTGAATTCTCAGTCAGTCATAGGTGATGTAGACCTTGACACATGTATTGATCGAAGCTACTACACTACATCACTATAGAGAGATAAAATCACCAAGATAAATACTAAAGTAGCATTAACGATAATAAAAACTCGGCATGGAGAACATGGTTCAAGAAGAATGAATGGATTTGTAGGATGAATTGTATAATATAGCTTCAAAACTCATGATCCAAGAAAAGACAGAGTGAATGCATCTACACCATTAAGACCACTTCTGGGACATATCGCCCAATATCTTGAACCATTAGTCACAATAATCGCATGTATTTTAACCAAATAGTATGTACCTATCTACATCGCTCAATTCGACAGTCATGGACTTTATAGACTGGTGCTACGTTTTGATTTGGACGCCCCAAGCTTTCTTCTAACTCGCTTCTTCAGCCAATACAGGTCGCGGAGGTGGGTGGGTGTGAACAAGAAATGTTTTAACCAACTAAATCGATGAAGATCCATAATCTTGTCAACCGTTCTAACATTATCGCCTATGACCCTAAGTCTAATATAAAAATTGTTTACTCAGTGATCCCAAAACACAGTGAATGTTCCGGAAGTACTTATGATCAAATATTAGTAACCTAGACATGTTTCCTACTTGTAATGACCAGGTATTATGGACAAAAAGTAAAACAAAGCAAAATGGTGGATAGTGTTCTACCCTTCGTTGACAGACGAATATCTTACCTACGCAACACGTGACCCAAACTTTCAAAAACCAAGCGGGACTTCTGAATCTGTAATATATAATAACAGACCTTACATCTGGCCTTTAAACAAACTGAGAGTACCCAGACAAGTTACTCTGCATTCTTATTACCCAAAATCACTGACCACACATTTTGGTACTTTGAGATTATTTATTTATTTATTTGAACACATAAATATTGGTACAGGGGGGCACCAAATATATATGCGCCACACTATATATATATATATATATATATATATATATATATATATATATATATATATATATATATATATATATATATATATATATATATATATATAGGATATACATTTTATATATTACCTATAGAGAATTATGCCTTGAAATAAGCACAAACTTGCTCCGTATTTTTTTTGGGACTTTTGAAACTTAATATTAACATGTCAGTTAGTCTGAAACATTCAACGTTATGAACAATTTGTAACCTCTAGAAACAACTCAACATTAACTTTAAAACATGAACAAATGTGAAATAATTTACTGAAAATGAAACCATTATTGGCGAAATTCAGAAAACCCGAAAAAAGAGCCAAGAGAAGCATCTTATCAAATCAGCGTTTACTAGAAGTTTTACCAGAAACATCTAGAAAGTGAAAAGTCACATGTCGAGTTTCTGATTGGATGATTGCTTATGCTGCCATTATGTTTAGTAGCACTCCATAATTTTCCGGAAACCCAAAGACATCTAAAATACCATAAAAACCCTAGATTTCCTGTATATAAAAGAACCTTCGGAGTAAAGCGATTTCTTACATATTTTGCGCCTTTTCTCTCGTGTTCAAGTCGCTGTGTAGATCTAGCCTGGGAGTTACTAGAAGAGCTTAGAAACCAAATCGAGCGTTCAATTAGCAAGGCTTATCACATGTAGACTGAAGAAATTTAGCTGCTTGTCAAGAAAACAAAGGACATGAAAGTTACGATGAACTTAAAGGCATAAAATATTCTTACTCATTCGAAATAGGACTTGGAAGATAACGGCCTGTTCGACTAATAGAGAAGTTTCTCACAGTGGTATTTACGGGAGATTTAGGACACAAAACTGACTGTTCATTGGAAGGATCCTTGTCATCGTAATGGGACTGGGAGTTTTGCAACAGACTAAGACCTCGAGAATGACCGTTGACTCCATACGAGCGGGGTGAATGTGGTAATTTGCGAGTGCACACCAACGAATGGCGAGTCGAACTTCGAAAAGGGTTGCTCAACTGATTCATTCTTTGGAACCAACGGGTAATCGGACAACCTTTAAGAATACATGCACATTTAACAAGATATCGACAGGCTGTATAGTCAAAATCAAAAGGTAGAGTTATCTCGGATGACTTTGGAATAACCCGTGATGCAACAACGACGAGACGAAGATGAGGCACGGGTTCATTATGTTGATCATTTGAAAAGGAAATGCAGTGACGGACCTAATAGGAAAATAAAAAATTCGTTTTAAAGTCATTTGGGAGGCATTAAGTAGGAAATGAACGAATGATAGTATACGAAAAATGGAGAGCTATTATTCGTACTATGTAGGAATTTGAAATACCTGAAATAGCAGTTGTATAGAAAGTATAAGTCAACCATGGACAATGTGAGAACTGATACGAATCTGTACTTTTCTAAGCTGCCAATACTTACGTCAACACAGGGAAGGATAATATTACCAAAATGAAAATCTGGAGGATAATTAAAATGAAATGGAAAACCAAAAGTGAGGAGTAACGAGTATGACTATTCCAAGGATCTAGGTCAGGAAGTTTTTATCCACTAATGAGTCAAAGGTAAGCTGTCTTTACGGATTGATTTCTTGACCCAACGTTTACATAAATGGTCAAGTGTTAATCCTTCAGAATTTCCATTGAACTATTTTACTAGTGAGTAGTAAACGTTCTTGAAATACTGCTGTTCTCTCCTAAGGGGTTCATGGGAACTATTAATTGGATCTTTAGAATGAATCAGCCACTAAATTGGTGTGTAGGCTTGTTTTTAAATAGCGTCAGACTTTTGTTACATAACGTTGACTTTTTAGATACCCTGTGCGAAAACGACTAATTTTCGATCTTTTTGTGGAAAGGAATTTTCTTAGTTTCTTTATGACATAAATTATGTATTCTATAACTGGATAATTAGAATTTTAATCAGAACTAAAGAGTAAAGCTCAATTTTATCAATAAAACAAATTACCTCAGAGTTAGGCGTACATGACCGACGGATAAAGCGCGCTTCATTGCCATACTTGCGAGCATCAACACAGAGAGGTAACTTCGGCAAGGATTTGTAAAACAGTACAAACGGATTGTAACTAAAAGAAAATAACTAAAAAAACATGATTACTTACTGTTTACGATAGTCGTACATATCGTTGTATTCACTGAGTAACAAACAATTACCACGGTATTCAATAATCGGCGTACGAGGACAAATGTCTTCACTTGCTATTAGGCCCTGAAAATGGATTTAAATTTGAACTCAGGTATTAGAAATACTGAAGGATTCATTTTAATTGACAAATTTTAGGTAATAAATTTACACAAAATATCTCACCCTGCGGTTAAAGTCGAAGCTAACAACCTGATATCGGAACAAACGCTCAAGATTAGAGGGAATTTCTTCGTTAAAAATACCATCTATGTCGCCACAATCTGCTCCCATGCTAGTAAACAGAGGAAACAATAAACTTAGTCTTTTGCAAACACGACTTGAAAGATGTAGAGTTTGGGCTTCTTCATAGATATCTGATGGAGGAGATAGTACAGAGTCAGGTGCTGGACAAGGAGGGGAGGTATGGCACACTTCATTTACCTGGGTAAATGTATTTTGTACCTTATTATTCGGGCAATCTGTAATTAAACGATGTACAATGCTGCTATGACGAATTTGCACTTTATCGGACACAGGGATTGGATTACTTCCTTGTGTTTGGCATACGTTCAATGAACCCTCCACGAAGCAGCTCTTTAAATCAGTGGTATAAGATGTGCGCATGTTTGACAAGTCATCATAGTCATCCAACACCGGAGGTGAGCTTGAAAAGCCCTCAATGCCTGCGTTTGCAGAGGATGATCCACCAGTGACTATAAGAAAAAAAACCCGAAAAACCATATGATAGAAAAAACAAGTTTCGATAATAAGCATTGAAAACAGTAACTTCATACAAAATTACAAATACATACTACGGTGCTATGTCAACCACTTCATTGAAAAATCTGAAAAATTATGAGGCTGGGAATGGGTGTAATATCTGAAGCTGATATGTGAACGAAGACTCAGACACTGGTTGTCACCATCCAACTAAGTAACACTGCAAGATCCAACCTCCACAGAAAATTTGAACATAGTCTATGATGAGTAGTGAACCAACATTCGTAGGATGTGGCACAATCACAACATAATTTTAGGAAAATATGGGTAGAGTATAAATTACCCTAATCAGTTATAATCAACATAGTCACAAATGTCCTCCAACTCAAACGTCCTTACCAAATCGGCACAGGAAGATAAAAAATAACAAGGTGAATAGCCAAAAAAATAAAAATAATAGTAGTAGTATCAATGATAGTTAAAAAGATTAAATACTGGGGAACTCTTCAAAAGAATAAATCTCAGGAATAAAGTCTGAAATAATAGATAAGCTCATCATTTAGAGGAAGAGAAGACGAAATAAGAGGATAGCTAAAGCTATCTTTAGAGATATTTTACCCATAAAGAGTTAATTCAGTAACTAAGACAAGTTTTCGTTCACATTGTTGAATTTCGAGAAGTTTACTTCTAGGTTGCATACCAATAGCTTGCAACTTTCCACTGCAAATCCATCTTTCATTCTTGAATCATATTTCGTTTGACGAACTTTCCCTACCACCATTGACACTACTCCCATAGTATTACCTCCAATAACTTTTCGTGTTGATGTGATATGGTAACCCTAACTGAAGCACATATACCAAGTTTCACGTTGCTTACAACTGACTGACTGAAAGATAACCTCATAGTTTCTTTTAGAAGCAACAAAATTCTCTAAAAGATAAACTTGTGGTGGGAAAGAGATTGCTTCTAATTATAGTAGAAGCAAAATTTCTATTCTGACAAATGCACTTTTATTAAGCACATTGAATTTCATTTTATAAAGGTCTCACAGTTTCTCGCATACAAGTTATGTTTCGGAGCAAATGATTACCAACGCTTTTTAAGTCGCAATGGTAGCTCCACATAGCTATATAGGAGATACATTACTTTTGGTACTGTTGGGTTCTTTGGTCTTGTTAGTCTAATTGTGGACATTACCAGGGTTTACGTAGAAGTATAACAGAAGCAAACGCCAACGATGTGCAGAACGGTAATGAGAGCTCAGAGTATCCAACAACATCCAAAATGAGAACCTCCTACATTACAGGATATACTACTCAATTTTATCATCACCCAATAATAGTGACAAGTGGTACAAATTATTCGATAACAGATGTCCGTTTTGTATTTAGGATTAGTTCATGAACAAGCTTTGCTTTCAGAAATGAAAACGCGAGGTTTATCACCTATTTAAGTTACTACACTGTTTAGCAACACAGAAAAACTAATAAAGATGAAAATTCACAATAAACTAAAAGGCGGTACATGCATTGTCAAGGAAAAAAATAAATATAAAGTGTTCAAAAGGCCATCAGAGGAATTCTCGGATAATTCGATTAAATTACGAACCTTAGCTAACCCATTCTAGGCTTTTCCAGTGACTGATAAACTCAATATTATTAACTCATTTACCAAGTACAGATCCACGTGGTTAGGCTCGAGTCACACTTTAAGGATGAGGGTTATTTGTACCACTTGGTTTCCAAACAGAAGTAGGTGAATTTCGAGCCTGAGACCTAGTGGCTGAAAGTCAAACACCCTAACTGATGACTCAGCATTCCACTACCCGATTGCTCCACGGAGGCGGGCTTTATATCTAACGACTTAGTCGCTTGCCTACTTTTAAGGATCTCGTGACAATCCAAAGTTTCTCGGCCGCAGCCTTCAAAAGCATCTTTGTGAAGTTAGGACTCGAACATGATACAAAGGTATTTATTCAAGGGGTTCATGGAGCAGCAAAGGAGGACAGTTGCACCCATGAAATTTCATCATTCTGCTAACCAAAAGAATACGCAGGGGTATTACGCTTTGTAAATTGATTGCACGGTTGAATTTTGAAAAATACTGAGAATTAGACATTAGAATCACATGAACACCTACTTTACTGACATTATCGTCAAACTAATAAACAGTACAAAGAGTATATTCTTACGTGTTAGCAGATCTTGTTTTCTTTTAGAGCTTCTTACAGATCGTCCACATTGGCCATAGTTTGGAGGGCGGGCTGCAGTAGAGCCATTTTCTGAAATCACACTAGAAACTAGATTGAACTCACCACACTGAACACCAGATATCCCTTGGCTTGCTGGGATGCAAACGTGAACTTGACGATGAGTCACACCTCCGAGCGTATTTGTTAAGAAAACACGTCCTGAAGGTGTATTTGTCCCTATAGGAGCACGAGAAATCCGGATGTTAGGAGTTGTGGTTGACCCAACACTGTTAAACGCGGTTAAATGAGGTCGCTGAGTAGCAATAGCTTTCGACTGTGTCTGGCATATTTCGCAAACATATGGTGTTGACAAGTGACTTTTACCAGCAGATGAAATACATTCACTATGGTGCCAAACTCTGAAAAGTGGTTAGAAATTGATATTTATGCCGAAAATATTTTACCTGCACTGATTACACTGAACGAGGTAACCATCCAAATTTGTGTTTCCACAAACGCAACGAACAGAATCCATACTATCAGTAGAAACCTGACGTGGAGCAGTTGTAGAAATTTGAAGACCAGGCAAACCAGTCCGTAAGATAACATGTGGAGTGAGGGATGAACTAACTCGATGAATCTGCAGGGGAGGATTTACATTCCCACCGGTAGTTGAGATCAAGATTGTTCGACCAGGCAAGGAAGAAACGTGACTTGTCGTTGTGACCAGGGATTGTCCGTTACTGGGAGAATTCAGTTCTGAGTTGCACACGACAGAACGTCTAGTTGATGAACACAACGCGTTTAGCTCAACCAAACCCATAGACTTAGTTGTTGAGACCGTGGAACCTTCTTCAAGAGTCCAGTTGGTCTGCAGTGTAGACTGGAGTGTCCTGGACGTCTTTTCTCCCGAATCCTGTGGACTCTCATCTTTTGCTAATGCTAACTTTGCTAAAAGAGACAAACGATCATCAGGTTCAACAGATTTATTATGATCTGGATTTGGTTCGTAGGATGCATAATTGTGATCCTGAAACGAGGTTAAGTGAACAGCAGAAACTCACGTTATAAGGAAGACCCCAACAGCTTTCTGACTCACCATAAGTTACAGCATGAAAAGGATATTCGTCAGGGTCAGATTCACTACTAAAACTCGAAATGAAGAAATTAACCTTACTCTTGATATGAGAAACAAACTCGTTTGTTCAATCTCTGCGTGTCGCACACAGATATCTCAGAACCATCGTGATTTATTGTCACTGTTTGACCAATATCAGGGGCTTTGCTTGAATAGTCGGTAGTTTCTACTGGAGAGTCCGGAGTATCTTCAATTAATGCATCCGACTCGGAAGAATCATTGAGTGAGCTACTCGGTCGACTTATAGAAAAATAGTTTAAGCTGTTGATTTGACGATGAGGATGGATAAGAGCATCCATCAGATTTACATGTGACACTAAACCTGAAACAATAGAAAGTTTTCACGTATATAATGATTCCGCAGATCATGTTTGTATACACAAGTAACATTAGTACTAATAAACAATCACGAATAACAACTTTATTTTGAATAATAAATCTCATTGGGTTATCAACGAATACCAGTATCTTAACGGATGAAATACAGGTCAGACGACCGAAACCAATACAGATGAAAACATGTGTTGTCTTAACTAGAAAATATATCACAACCAAATGGAGCAATCCAAACAAGATTTACACTCATCGCAGTGATCATACTAGAATCTTGGTTAACCTAACGCTAAAAGACAATAAATCTGATTTAGGACTTCTCATGCATTTTGGATTCATCAAGAAAGTTATCTGGACTGATTATAACTAATCAATTTTAACAAAATAACAACAAACGTTTATATCTTCATAACATCACAAAAGGGGCAAATCAGGCTACTGAGCTTAGAAACACAATAATAACTACAATGGATTCATTTCTAGAGAGAAGAATGACTCACCTAACATTCCTTATCATCCAAAGCCATCCATATCGCCATCCCAAACAAAGGGACCCATACGATCAATTCTGTTGCCAAGTCTGCTTTAGAAACGATTCAAACAACGTATATAAAATTTTGAGTGTATTAAATTACAGTACAGCAAACCGGTAAGGCTTTCAGCTTGAAGATATAATAAATGAAACGGTCACACTTTTAATTGATGGCTTAGATGTACTGCAGCACTTGCCCTATTGAAAAACAACGAGATTGTTATGATATGGTATGGCTAGTAAAACTATTGAGGTCACCATCAATGTCAAAGACTTACAGGACTATTTATTTTGAGTGACATTTTTTAAACCGAAAGGCATGGGTAAAAATTCATAGAGTCCGAAGGGAGAGATGACAACAGTTTTAGAAATGTCATTTACAATCATAGGTATTCCATTATGCTCCTTAACCAAATCGTTTTCGAGAAAACATTTGTGCCTTTCAAGGTTGCTGCCGGATCGTGGATGTGTGGCAGAAAGTAACGATTGATGATGATTTTCATATTAAGTCTCCAATAATTACCAATCGGACGCCAATCATTGCAGTCCGTTTTGGAGACCATGTAAAAAGCTGATGTGTATGAGCTTTTCGATGGCCGGAAAATTTCCAAGTCTATTATATCCCTTAATTCACTCTGGGATAAACTTAGCATTTTAGCAGTTAGAGCGTTTCCAACAATACAGGTGAGCCTGTGGTCGTGATGTGGTGTGTAACATTTCTGGTTACACACTAGTTTTAGTCGTTTTTTGTAAAGTTTGGGTTAAGTGACGAGTGCCCGGTAAAATTATAGGTTAATTATATGCTTAACCGTGACTGAGCATAACCCAAAGCCACAAAACGAAGTTCTTCAAACAAATAATTTAGTACCCATTAAAGATTCTACTGATATTAAGGATTTGACGTTTTATCCGTAAAATCTTCATTATCGAACCAGTCAAATAAGAAGTCAGGGATGGATGAGTTCGAGGAAAAACTTGGGAGGTTATAGATGTGTTAGAAATCGTTCAATATGACTGGGCGGCAATTCCTAGCAATGCTCATAATGGTTTACTTTCTCTTTATGCAGTACGAATTCTTCACCGAGTGCCTTCAACTAAGATGTGTCCAATAATAATAATCAGACTAATATAAACGTCGAAGACTTACAAAACCACTTATTTTGGGGATCAATTTATCCCTACAAGCATGTCTCTTATCGCTACACTCCTGTTGAACCAATCATGGTATGTCGTCCATACGAAATTCTGGGAAGTACCCCTATTTCCACGTGACAAAACCTTTTTTTAATAACAGCTCATATATTTTTGTAGTACAACTGAATTCCAACACACACATGGCTTTTTCATCTGACTATAATTAAAATGAGTATGAAATACTTGTCCCATAAATACGCCACACCGCTAATCACCGAATAATCCTATGCATTACAGTGCGGTTTATAAGCATGTTCAACTTTATCGTTCATACAGGTCAAATGTTACCATGTTGATTAGCTAGATTTCCTCATTATTATTGTGGTTATTATTACTATTACTCATTGATGATGAAAACTGTAACCACATTGTTTCCACCGTGAATTCACAAAACTTACAGTCAGTCATTGAGATCATATTGACCTATATTTGGTTTAGCACAAGAATACCTAACTGCGCATATAATCTACCGCTCATTCTGACTGACATTTTTATACCTGTTTTCCTCATGTTTGATTTAATTAAAAAAAATTGTATATAAGTGCTGTTTTCGTGTACAAAAGTACTTCCACCATACTCACTCGAACCATCGTCACCTTTGTTTTTGGGTCACAGACATGACCAATAGACCATGTTCGATTATGGTGAGCCTAACTGCAATATTATCTGCATTAGTCGATTATTAGCGATAACTATGACCGTAAGGACATAAACACTAGTAGGGTACAAGACAACACGGCTTCTAAGTGACTCTAGGGAATATAACCTTCTTACTACAACGTCCGTGTACACATCAAGCTAATCAAATGTTTATTGTGTGAGACTCCGACTATTTCAATAACTTTAAGGAACCTACTCGACTCAAGGACTCAATACGGCATTTTTACTATTTTTCATTCCGTGTTTTCATTACTTGTGATTAATGGACATGCCCGCAGTTATGAACCGAATCACAAAGGGTGGCCCAGGAATCCAACTTTTGTCTGGCTCATGTTAATATTATCTTTGAAGAAATGTTTCGTTTTAACGCATATACATACCCAAAATGTCTAAACATTGTGTTTTACTTGCAGATTACTAGAACCTTCTGGCAGACTAAACATATGGGTGGAGTCGAACATTTATTGCTTTTAATTGCAAATTTCCTGATTGTATCTAATTATTTTACAAAAACAGTAAAGCAATTCTTCATATGTGATTGATCTTATTTGCTTATTTAAAAAGTAGATTCCTCTCTACTTCTGACTTGGGGATGGCTCAAGAGGCAAGTGAGTAATAACCTGATAGCCAAACAAGGCATGAGAAAATCGCATCCCATAAACAGTGTGTTAGCCAGCGCGCTCGCGGCATTTATTTGGCCATTTTTGTTTCGTTCTCTTACCAGCTAGTCGGTCATTAGCTCTGAATCCTATGCAGGGGACACGTACAACAATTCACGTACGACAATTTGTAGTAAGAAGGTAAGTGCTACCGAGTTAGTGATTCTCCATTAGCCAGCCGAAACCGAACTGACATGCTTTGGCTTAATAAATTGATCAAACCTAAATTCCTTTGAAAGTCGGTCCTAGAAAGAAGCTGATGTAATGATTTAGATTGAGTAGTTAACGATTGGCCAAAAACATCTTGATAATGTCAGCAAATGATAGCACAAGTATTTGTTTACTTCCTTATTACTCTAAGTAACCTCTTGCTTTTAATACTAAATATATTTTCTTCGCGGCTCAAATGGGTCCATCAAAAGACCATAAACGCAACCGCTGAATGTCACGACAGGATGAATCAGTAGGGGTAGTGGTGTGGCTTCGACGTAAGATCTTACAAATTAGGCAGCCACCTCATGGTAAGTTCATAATTTCCCCACATTTATTTAGAACTTCATTAAAGAATAATGGGCTATTAGAAAAATCAGCATCTGTCAAAACTGCATCAGGTTTTCCATCATGATTTCATTCACTCAACATATTTTCCTCAAATTTGTAAGAAATTTCGTCAGAAATATGTTGGTCGTTAAGACAAACAATATCTGGTTCAATAACATGACAAATTCGATAAGAAGTTGACTGACTAGAAGCTTTTGTCTCATAATCACTCTGAGTTTCATTTAATTCTGAGTTGATATATGACTCTATACTGTTTTTTGAAGTCGTGGATAAAAATAAGTCATCATTGGAAACACCCAACTTAATAGGATCAAAATTTCAAATTTTAGCATTAGTTGCCGCGAAATGAACCGTAGTATTAATAACTGACTGAATGTGCTCAATTTCACTACGTTTAAAACATTCGGAATCACGAAATGCACATGGATTACATGTGCAAAACGTGACGCAGAACAAGCATTTGCCAAACTTGTGCTCATCTTCGTGACCAGTTTTAAAACACATCAATGAGTCGTTAACTGAATCACTTTGATTACACATTGAACTGAGAAGACGTAGTAAATTGGTGGAATTCCTGATGTCCTGACAAATCATTTTCTGATTTTTTCCTATTTACCGCATTCGAAAATTGTATACTTTACATAGTCTGGCAGTAGTTCCTTGCGAGTTGCATAAGAAAGTGAAATATGCTTTTCTGATGAAGCCAGAATTTTTAATGAGCTGTATGCTTCTTTTCCGATGAAAGTGACAAAATGAGCCACAGTATTAACATTCTCAACATCTTCCTTCGTCACCGCCCAGATTTCGAACCATTCCATGTAATCCTCAAAGGCATCTAATCTGGATGTATGTCCGACCGTTCCATCTCAGGCTCCATAGAGATGTCAATATGATGATTATGAGTAGTTGAATTATTGTAAGAACTAGGAATCCCAAAAATAACACAATTTAACAAGAAAGTATTAGATGAACACAAACGAATGTATTGTGTTTGGAATTTGAAATCATGCATTCTTTTTGTACAAAAGAATCATTAGTTCATACAAACAACACAAGCGCAGAGTTCAAAAAGAGTGGTAGTTGTTGTCTTAGAGATATTTGCTTCGACTACTGGCATACTTGCGATACTTTCTAGATCGGTTTTAGTCATACACTTTAGGCTGTTCGTGAAATTTTGAGTGTGTGGTACTGGGTACCTATCTAGAACAGTTTGACAGTCGGTGGTCTTGTAGTGGTATCGGTTTCTATCCACACGATCATTGAAGCCAAGCATACAGATTTTTATGCAACATGTAACACTTGGAGAAGGTCAAAAGTGATGAACGCGAGAACAACTGCTCCGTATGGCATGGCTCGACCTTGCAAGCATGGTGATCCTGTATGACTTGTCCCTATTTACATCAAAATTTATTATTTTATCCCCGGCTCAGAAGTGGTCTTCAGAAGTGCTGAATATCATATTGCAGATTCTCAGGATATGGTGGATGAGAACAAAAAATGATATGACTTCTACGTACAGTCTAATGGATCACGTATTCACATAACGACAAATCTGCGTTCTAGGGATTAGGTCCACTGTTATAAGGGGAAGATAAATGCACTTATATCAAACTAGACAATAATTCCGGCTTTTTAATCTTCATATGATTATAATTCACCATTATTTGGGGGGACCATGTAGAGTGGATGCCCAGTGGTCATCTGATTAACGAGTGACATCCAATTGCACAATATATTTGAAGTCGGCTATAACAATTTTAAGTCCGTCGGAGGCCAATTTTTCTGGAGAAACCTCAGTTTTGTTTATATGGATTGCAGTGGGCACGAGGATCGGAGAAATGACGACCTTCTTGTCTATTGTGTAACCCCAGGTCTCGTTAATGGTCAAACGTTGTCACTTGGTAAACACCTGAGAAATTCTAATTTCTTCAAAATGTTTAAGCCAATTGTTGTCGGATCTAAGTCTATTACAGAGA